CTATATAGAATTATTATATAAGTATTCACGTAAAATATAACTAATGTCTTTAAGTTTCTGTTGGCCTTTTTAATATCTTCATTATGACCATCATTTGATAATTTAACAAATTTGATATATTTATCAAAGTGAATAAACGTTAGGTATTATTCCTTTTACTTTATTTACGTTATTTTAAATTTAAAAAATTATTATTTATTTAAATGTTATATGCAAAATATGAATAGTACCTAAGGCAATGGTTTCCAACCTTTTCATATTGCGTTTCTTCGTTCTTATAAAAAAAAATTTATTGACCCCCCCTTAATTCTGTTCACAAATTAATTTCATAATTACTCAATGTAATTTATTTATCAAACTACAGATTAATATGTAGTACAATGTAAAAATATACACCTAAAATAATTATTTATTTACGAAAATTGTAATATAGTATAGCCCTTCCTCAGGGGCGCGCCCCACAAGTTGAAAACCACAGACCTGAAGTATCATGTAAAAAACGTTCTGTAATATGAAATTTAAATTTTATTTTACTTTTGAATTTGAGACTTATCAAAAATAAAATCGATTTTTTGAAAATCCGATTCACATAATGCAGTAACTTTAAAGTTTTAAATTTTATGTTGTTTTAATATTTTAACAGAACAAATCTATTTCTGTCTATTACCTATTTGTGTGTATAAATAGATATATAATTTCGTGCTTAAATATTTTATGGTACGACTCTTCTCTCATTCATAAGGAACAGCTGTTAAGACGCGCGCCAAAACATAATAGTGTCCAGGTGTCAGGATATCCCAAGAAAGGCCGAATATAAACAGGTATAAGAAATCGTTATTATGTCGACCGTATTACAGAATATCCGCGGAATACTATACACAGTGTTCATACAAATTTCAATGAATTCATTAAGTTTTGCTCATCCAACACAAACCGTGCCTTACACAAGCTTATAAGCCTTTGGACTTCAAAGGATTTAATCTTGCTACTACCCTTCGGCTGTCGTGTAGAATGCATTAGTAGGGCTTCCTAAATCAATATTGTATGGATTACTAGACCCTTTCAGAAACATTCAGATTAGACGGGACGTAATTAAAATAGTTTTCGAAAACAAGTTGTTTAGCAGTGTTTTGGGATTTTTGTTTTTCGAAAAAAATTGGAATGTTTTTTGCAGCATTATGTAAAAATTCATTCAGGGATTAGCAACCATTGGTTACGAGTTCAATCGCCCCTTTGGCCAGCTTTATATCAAGCAGTATTGATATTAATAATGACATTATTAGTATCTTTTCAAGAATTATCTAAATTAGATATGAAAATATACCCAATATAATCTCCACAGAAAGGAATGGTCAACCACTGGGTTGCCTTATTGAAACACTAGGTTAAGAAATGGACAACATCGACAGCTTATAGAACACATGCTTCTGATTGCTTTACAATTATATTAAAAAAATGTTATTTCAATGAGCTCATAGATATATTAAAAGGGATGTTTTTAATGAAATTTTCGGCTATCACGAATCTGAACTTCTTAGTTATAATATTATGATTTTATTTAAATTTATTCTATAATAATACAATAAATATTTTATACAAAAAAGCACCATCAAGTAGTAAAACCTTTAGCTGATTAGGATTAGGCGATCAATCACCTTTTTTTAAAAAAAAATTACAAAATTATATTTATTTTTAGAAACAGCATTAAATCAGTGATTAACGACATAAATACTAAATTTTATGTGTGTTCTTTATTTCTGAAGAGCATTTTATTATTCAGAATTTGAATTCATTAATTTTTATGTTATCGAATTAATGGCAATCAATTACCAATTTCTCTTTGCTATGTAAAAATTTTGCTAAATTATATTTATTTTGATATTATACTTATTTTTATATTATACTTATTCTTATTATATTTATATTATATTTATTTTTAGAAACAACATTAAATCTGTAAACAACGAGATGATGATACCAATTCTTGTTAACAATTTTACAAATTTATATTTAATTTTAGAAACAATATTAAATGTATTAATGGCAGTGTAATGCAATGCTTAATTCTCTGTATTTACTCAAATAATTGAATTACTGTAAATGTGTAATAAAATTAATGACAATCAAATGCAAATTCTTGTTAACTTTAATTTTACAAAATTATATTGAATTTCAGAGACAATGTTAATTCTGTAAATGACAATTACTTCTAATAATATTAATTATACAGTATAGATAGAATATAAAACGGATGGAATGCTTTATTCTCAGTATTAACTCAAACTAGCTGTAAGTGGAATTCTGTCTTAAGGCAATTAGGGCATCGTGCCTTAAGGCAAATTGCTGGAACTTCCCGTACAAAAATTATTATTTTTTTAAAAACCGATTAACATTTTTGAAAAAATTTTACTTCGAAAAAAATAGATTTTTGAGAAACTATAAATTTGACAAAAAAATACTTTTTTTTGAAAAAAAAAAAAATTTATTTGAAGAAAAATTTTTTTTTGAGAAAAAATTTTTTTTTTGAAAACAAAAAAAAATTTTGAAAAAAAATGTTTTCTTCATTTTGACATATTTTGAAAATTCTGAACTTTTTTTCACTTGCACTGCACTGCTTGAACTGCATAGAGACGAAATGTCAAAGCTCGCTAGTGCCGCGCCGCCGTCTAACGCGTAAACATTGGTACGGAACCCACAGAAATGTAAAAAAAAAATATACTTATTGTTGAAATCTCTATAAAATATCTGACAATTTGATGTGCATATGTCTAATGATCATTTTTAACCGCCGAATGGCATTTTTTTTTACTTTTTTCATTAGATCTCCGAAACCGCTAGACCTGCCTTCATGAAAATTTGATCAATTCTACATCTTGTCAATACAAGTAAAATGTTTTTTGAATTATTCAAATCGGACGCTCCGTTCTCTTAAAAACGGAGGTACCGTTTTTGGCACTTTTTGCCCCGTATCTTTGGAACGGCTGGACCTGCCTTTGCCAAAAACTAATCAGCACGTCTCCTTATCAATACGAATCGAATGTTTTTTGAATTATTCAAATCGGTTAATCCGTGTTCCCGAAATCGTCGACGAAAATTTGTATCCGCACATACATACACACACATACATACATACATACATACATACACACACACACACACACACACACACACACATACATCCATTTTTTCTAAGGTATGCCAAAATGTTCAGAAACCTCTGAAACGTAAAGATATATAAATATTTTCATTTTCGATTTTTTTGCGATTACTATAACTTGCCCTACGGGAAGTTAACAAATTGATATCAATGTGTGTTGTTGTTGATATTAAAGCAATCAATTACCAGTGTTTTCAAATATTTACAAAATTATATTCTTTGTTGAATGAACTTCAAATAAGTTATAAATATTAAAGATACCGTATCAGCTGTAAAATAGATAGAAGCTGCTTTATTGTCATTGTCAGTATTTACACAAATTATCATTAGTGTTATCGAATTCATGACGATCAATTTTTATAAATTACTTTCTTTTTTATTTTGTAAAAATAATTTCATTTAAATAAACTCGATAAATAACGATATAAATATCAAAGATACTGTATCAGATATAAAACAAATGGAATGCAATTCAGTATTCTTAACATACCTTGCATACTCACATACAGCAAAAAAAAGATGTTAAAATACCGGCAGAAGAATTCGTATTATTCATCATATATTTATTTTTTGATAAAGGCTTCGAATTTATAAAATTCTCGTAATAATGGAGTTTTTGCAAAACATTAAAGCAAAATATAAAAAAATGAACTTTTAAATATAAGACATGTAAAACCTGAAGTCAATATTTCGTTGTTCCTCATATGATTCATAATTTTATTACGACATAAGAAATCGGATCTTGATGAAATTATTTCAAACCATCGATAATTGCTTAAGAAAACCAGCAGGTGTTTGAGACTATGGTTAAAAATATCCGAATCTATTAGCAGATATTACTATACAATGAATCTAATAGAACTCAAACAAAAAGATCAATATTTGTTTAATAATTTTATTCTATTTGAAAAACTACGGTGCAAAAAGAGTATTGCGCAGGTGTGTCAATAACTTGTAAAACTCATTCATGTTGTAGCCACTGATTGCAGGTGATTAATTAGAATAATATTGATTTTGTAAACGACAAACGAACTTGGATATGAAAACACGATACAATTTAAATTTTGTAGCATCTACTGAATTTTAATACTGTTACATAAATAAAATAATCATTTTTATAAAACGCCAATATTAGTACTTCTTTCATCTTGCTTTAGGGAAGAATTATATACTTCTATATAGAAATAAAACACAGAGATAAAACGTTAGATAAAACAATGGAGTTTTTTTTAAAATAATATTTGTTTTAAAAAAAGACTCATTATTAACAGTACCTGAAGAAGGTGATAACTCATATCTCCCAAACGTTAAATAAAGTAATGAAATAATTTTTTTTAAAAAAGGAGGCCTTTAGTACAGTATATATATATATATATATATATATATATATATATATATATATTGTAATATACAAAAGTTAGACTTTTTAAATCTCGATTTGTATCATAATCAGTGTAAAATGTATTCCATATCTAATCTATAATCTATCCAAATGTATCCATAATTTATTTAAGACTCCCAATACCTTTACATAAATAAAGGTGTAATTTATTGGAATTATTCATGGAAAAATATAAAACTTCTTGAGCATGAAACAACGTATTTTATAATGAATTATGTAAATCAAATGATATAATCATTTATATTTCCTTCGAGTATTCCAACAGGTATATACACTTTATAATAAATTTGATATAACAATTAAAAACTATTTATGTTAAATAATATTCTATTTCATATTATAAATGTTTTCTATTTATATATTTTTTTAAATATCAGCTTGGTTTTATAAATACTCATGAATAAAACAATATAAATATTTGTTTAAATTATTCAATGTTACCTTTGATATGTAAATTTCGGCGCTAGTTTATCTATGCAGTAGCCGCCATTCAGGTAAACAATTCTCGTTAATGAATTGAAAACACAAATTTGTAAAAGCACTATTTTGCATAAACACTAGACTGGACAAAATTCACTATCGTAGACACTATTTTACTATGAATCAAATATGACTAATATTTCTCAGATCATTCACATTACTACAGAACAGACCGGCCAGGATGGCTTCACGATTACAAATGCCGTAGCAGTAGATTGTCGCGAATGTCAGTCGTTGCGAAGCATTTCTGATATGAAATTTATAGAACGGGACGCCGAGTAATAACGCTATAGTATGCAGCAGGGAGTGGAAACCTTTTTTGACCTTTGCTCTTCAGCCCAAGTTTTCAATCATAAGATCGATAAATAGATAAGCTATATATAATTTCAATGTCAAGACAAATACATCTCATTGCTCTTATTAGTCTTTAGTTTTACTGTTTAATTCAGTCACTAGTGAATAACTTGAACTGGTTAAGGTCAAAATCAGTATGAGTTTAGTGTAGGTGATGATTTTTCTCTGTTAAAAGTAATTGCATCGAATCATTAAGGGTAGAAAAATTCATTAATTAATCTCATATGCAGGTTTTTATACGTGTATTCAAACTCTTAATTCAAGCCCTAAAAATAATTCAAATTGACTGCTTAACTATTTAATAAGATTGTATGTATATGCAATATGTTATACTAAACACTTTTTTAATTCGCGTAGGGTAAGTTATTGCAATTGTCCCAAAATCAAAATTGAAAATTTTTGCATACTTCACGTTCTGAAGATTTCTGAACATTCTGACATACCTTAGAAAAAATGGATGTGTGTGTGAATATGTATGTATGGTTACAATTTTTTGTCCACGTTTTCAGGTGCAGAGATCAACTCGTTTGAATGGTTAAAAAAATATTCGATTCCTGTTGATAGAGAGATGTGCTGAATTGGAAAAGGCGATTGCAGCCGTTTCGGAGATACGGCGCAAAGAGTGCAGAAAATATAAATCGCGCTTTTGAGAGAACAGAGCATCCAATTTGAATGATCCAAAAAATATTCAATTCATAGTGATGAGGTGATTAGATTTTGGCAATTAGGTCTAGCTCTTGACGTTTCGGAGATATGGAGCTAAATGAGCAAAAAATGGCAGTTTTTGAGAGAATTAAGCATACGATTGAATGATTCTAAATACTGATTGCTTTTGGGGAAAAATTTTTAATTTCCAAAGAATATTTTTTTTACTAAATTTTATTCTTCAAATATTTTATTATGATATGGAAAGTTCCAGCAATTTGCCTTAAGACACGATGCCATACACCACTAGTCTTTTTTTCAATTTGGAGATGTACAAACCGATTTATATTAAGCTTATGGAAATAAATTTATGAATTATTTCACTTTTGGAAACGTGGAATAATACGTTTGAAAAATAATATAAAAAGTATAATATAAATACAAGTTAATTATAAACACAATTCTCGTTTTTTCTTAATTTATATTTTAATAGTTTGTTACATAACACATTTACGGGTAATAAGAAGTGAGTTCTATGAGCAGTTTTTATGATATTAAATAACCATTTTATCATATTTTTATGACATGTTTTTATTAAAATTTATGATTATATATTTGGGATTTAGCCAAGCCGGAAAAATGTATTTTTACTTCCATTTCATCCAAGTGAAAGGAGATATACTTATCTATGGAGATATCATTATTTTTTATATCAAGTTGTCCGAAATGTGGGTTCGAAACTTTGAAACTATCGTGATTATGAAGCAAGGTACAAAGCGCCTGTCCTTTCGTATATAACGTTGAATTAAAAAACGTCATAGATATATTTACTTTTTCAGTCTTTGTTACTATAGGGCCTAAGCTCTTCATTTTTAATAGAGGGTTGCATATTCATGTAAATATGAGAAGCGGTTTCAGAAATTGAAAGGGTGTTTGCGATATGAATTTTCTGAGTATTATTTAGAACAACGTTTTTAGAATACGTTTGTTTTCCAAAACTGCTACTGATCGATAGATTGACCCCCTTCAGTAGTTAAAAAGGTAATACATTGTTACAAGATTCTATATATCAAAAGAAGCATGTATGCATGGATTAAACTTCCTTGTAACCTGACAATAAACATTGAGTTTTAAGTATAATTTAATAAATTTGCAAAAGAAAAATATTGCATTTTTCTTTTGCAACAAACATGTTATTTACCTCTGACACAGAGTACATACGCCTGCGAGAAAGGGAAGCAGCGTGGTAACGGAACGGGCATGCCTACTACGCGTAGTACACAAAAATCAAGCTATTCAAACTGTTGATCATGCTCTGTATATGCAGATAAAAATCCACTAAAATTGATATCACAAGTATACATTATCGTGTATATAAATGATAATTATGTAATTGCACAACTTAAATATGTTTTTGTCAGGAAACCGCGAGAGATAGCCCTAAAAGTATCAATGGGCGCTTGCGCCAAGCACTCATATACATAGATAAATAAACATAATGCTCATATATACGTTATATATAAATTTATATATATATATATGTGTGTGTGTGTGTGTGTGTGAGTATGTGTCAATACAGTATATTTTTCTAAACGATATTTTCCTAAGAGCTTCCGTTTTTTATCAAAAAAAAAACATTCACAATTATTTCTACGTTTCGGGAATATGGAATATAATCTTCTTTAAGAACTTGAACTTAGGATTCAAATTAAACTGAATATAAATAATAGCATTAACTTTCCGAAACATATACAAAATCAACTAACTTTAGGTATAATGTTCAACTGTTTATTTTGAAAATATAGTTTTTGCTTTCACTAAAAATCAATCAATGCGATTCCCAATTCAAATCTTTCAACCATACTTATAGTATTTGCTGTTACATAAATAAAAAATTAATTAATTAATCATTTCAGCCATTTCGGGTTCTAATGATGTATTTTATTTAGGTTCAACTATAAGCAGTAGGTGTGCACAAAACACGGAACCTACATATGCACGAAAAAAATAGATTCTAATTAGAATCGCTTAAGCGCGGTGCGCAATTCCAAACTTCGGTGCAGTTTTATATCTTATATTGAACCGATTATCGTAGAGTTCATAATATTCTAGAACGTTATTTCAGGCTCTAAAATCTATCGTCAAATCATAAAAAAATCTACATTTAATTACGAAAAAACGATCCGGCTGATCTTTATCAAAAATTAATCAGCGCGATTCCCAACCAAACAGATTTTGAATTCTTAAAATCGGTTCAAGATAGAGTGCTAAAGCGCGTAGTAAAAATTTACACTTTTCTGCTAATTACAAAGAAACGGCTTAGGCGATTGTTGCACAAACCGATAACCGCTAGTCCTTATCGAGTTACATCGAATAACATCGAATTTTTGAAAACGGTTCAGCCGTTTTTTCAGAAGAATTTTAAAATCGGCTTACTTATAAACCGGATCTTCTCTCGAAAACTAACATCTCCTTCAGAAAGTTATTAATTTTTTTTTATAATTATTTCTACATTTCGGTGATCGGACGTGAATGTCCTCATTATCAAGAACCTTGAAGGTTTGAAATGAAAAAAAAATAAACAAAAATATCTTTTAATGTTGAATGCAAAACTTTATTTTTAGTGAGCCTTTACTTAAGATTTCAATCCTTCAGCGTTCCCGAATATGACTTTTCGTATCCGCGAAACGAGGAAATAATTATAAACAAAAATTAAATAATTACTTTCAGAAAAAAAACTAGAATAAATTCAGAAAATTTAAATCATACAGGTATTGGCAATTCTTCTATATTTCATGTTTTCAGTTGAATATTCTAAACAAACAATTCCATTTTTATTTTTAGAAAACATAAAATGTGTAAAAAGCATCATGTACTTTGAAATTGATCTAGACTTTGACCATCATTCATATTCAATAAGAAGTATGCCTTTTAGAAAATTTCATTTCAATACCAATTTTCTATACAATCATTTATATCCAGTCGAAGGAAAAGGAAGCCATGGCAACGAGATCGTACATATTCTAATAGAGTTTCTTTAAAGTATATTATACTTTGTGTAATAAGAACATACATTGTAGATTAATCAAAATCAATAAGTTTTAATTATTTAAATGCATCATATAAAGACTCGTTAGATCAATAATATACATAATGCATTAAATGCCATTCAAAACTAATAAACTAAAACACTTATTAAAGGAAAGTATAATGTATAATTCCTCATAATATACACTCTGTCATATATTTCTTATGCTCATAATTTACTATTTTACAAATTTACATAATATTATTTATAAACGTGAGTATAATTTTCATTATAAACTTTCATTGTTCCAATTGTTTTGTATTTCCTTTAAATATTTATAGGCCCTTGAAGATATATTTAGAGACGGTTCTACACAATTTAGTCCAGGCTCATCTATTAAACTTAATCCACATAATCCAAAATATGTATGCAGCGGGTCTGTGTTACAGTCCGGCCACTTTGAGAATCCTCCTACAATAGTATCTTCTGTAGACATTACAAATTCACGATTTGCCATGTAATCAGTTAGATGGAAGACATTCAATAATTTGAGTGCTCCACCAACCCAAAATGAATAACAAGTATCAGTTGATTTATTAGGCCTTCCATTAAATCCATCAGCCTGTCTATTAATTAACCATCTAATTAATTTGTCCATTGTTTCGTTTGGCAATTTAGAAAGTTGGTTACTTAGAACTAAAGCTGATATTCCACAATATGTAGTTCCACCATGCGATTCTAAATTAGGAGCCTGTGCTATCCCATTGTCAAATCCCTATTATAGACATTTAAATGTATTAATTAAATAATTATAAATCCTTATTTACGATATTTGTTAATACCATGCTCTTAATAATATACTCGGCCATCTTTTCCCGGTCAATTGTGCTCCAATCATTTAAAATATAACATATTGCTGCTGCACAAAACGTAAATCTCATATCAGATTCAGTTCCATAGAGAGAACCATTAAAACTACCTTCTTCTGTTTGTAAAGCTCCAACACCTTCTCAAGTCACAAAAAATATTAGAAAAAGTATCACAAAAAAATCCAAGAGGAATTCGTATAATAAAATACCTTCTAACACTGATTTTTTATCAACTCTTGACAAATTATCGCCCAGAATTAACAGAGAACATAAACTAGTATAAGTCATTGCTAGATGCCCGCACCTATAATGACCAGATATATGTCCTGATGTATTCACAGTAGTTGAGCCCTGAATATGTAGTAAATTTACAATTCAACACAAGAAAATATAATTTATTTTTACGGTTTCTCAATGCAGATTTGAGTAATAAGATTTTTGTAAAAAGTTTGCTGATGTTTCATAGTTTGTAAAATGTGATAAATCGTATGCGCAGTGTAATGCTAATAATTTTTTTCTAAAAATTATTTTCACTGTTTTAAGTTTATGCATTTATCCTATTTAGTATATATATTTTTTCTCACTATATATTTCTTCATTAATTTTTTGTATTCATAGTATTTTAGAATTGCTGAATGATAACGTACAACAAGTATCAAAACGTGAAATTAATAAAGAATGTTTTTTAACCTTTTCTTATTTCATTTCAACGGACAAAAAATTAAGATATATATATATATATATATATATATATCATATTATTACATATATGAAACCTTGCTTTTATAGTGCATCTATACTTATTGATACTCATTTTATACCTGAAAGCCTCCAACAGGTAAATCAGTATCTTTTGAAGTAACTTGAAGTTGATAAATCCACTCAATAATATTCTGTTTTGTCTCGTCATCAAGCGTATCTAGAGAGTTTAAAATATCCAATCCCGACAGAGCAAAGTAGGCAATCATGAGTCTGTTAGATAAAAAAAAAAAATAATTTTTAACAAGAAATATTATATTGGTGTAATATATATCTTAAACATTCAGTTTACTATGAAGGTTGAATAATTTATAATTTTCATAAATAATATAGTTTATTTTGCAAAACTTTTGAATAAAAATGCTTTTTATGCAAAATGTTGAGTTTGATATAGAATATCATAGATGTGATTTATTGTAATGTTATGTTATCCAAATGATCTGCATCCCATCAATAAAAACTGTATGAATAGCAAAAATGAGTTAAATTTATATGGATAGTATAAATCCTTTGTAGGTTTTTGGATATTCATAGGTTATGTAAAAAAAAACCCTACAATTCTTAGAATTTATATTGATGTAATGCCCAATCATTCAAACTCAACACATTTATACTCAGATACATGTGTGCAATTTTAAATATTATTTGGTTTTAACCACTGCTAATAATTATATTTTCATTAAGCTATGGGGCTGGTCGAGTAAACCCAATATTGTGAAGATAGAGATAATTCAATAAAATGCTCTAAGAAGTATTACAGACACACGCTAGCCCGTCTCCAAGTTCACAATTCATAATGATTTCAAAAAGCCTTTCAAAGAGAAAGTAATTAAAAACAGAAGCAGTACTCATATATCCAAAATTGAGGATCATCCAAATGAATTACTAAGACCAATTATAAGAATAGTATAAGAAGACTAAATGGCCAATGCGTACAAGTCGATGTAGAAATGAAAACAACTGCTAATAATTATATTACCATTGAGTTATGGGGCTGGTCAAGTAAATCCAATATTGTAAAGATAGAAAAAATTTAATAAAAAGTTTTAAGAAATATTACAGACACTCGATAATCCGTCTCCAATTTTATAATTCATAAAGGCTTCAAAACAACTTTCAAAGATGAAGTAATTAAAGAACGAAGCAGTACTCATGAATCAAAAATTGAGGATCATCCAAATGAATTACTATGATAAGTTCTCAATATGCCAACTAAAAGAAGACTAAAAGAAAATAATGGTTGACGTATACAAGTGAGTACAATATTGTGAAGATGGAGAAAATTCAATAATGGATTTTAAGAAATATTACAGAAACATGTTCATAAGGTTTCTATTTTACAATTCATATTGTCTTGTAATCCAGTCATTATAGTAAGCTCACCCTGGAATTCGATATACCCAGCTGTAAGTCTGTAAATACTTGTATATTGACACCCTAAAGATGTAGGCTTTGAGACAACTTTAGTGTGTCAATATACAGACTTACAGCTGGGTATCTCAAACTCTGAGATTCTTACCTAGTTTAAGCTTAAATGACTGGGCTATTGAAAATACCTTCTATAGACGAGGTAAATAAAGAAAGAAGCAGTACTCGAGTATCAAAAATTCCATATCATTCCATTTCAAAAATTGAGGAGCATCAATTGAGTAACTAGGAGCAGTACTCAATGTATGACTCGACAAATATAGACCTATGGTCCTGCCATAGCTTTAGTTAGAAAATCACTCGGTGCAGTGATTTCTAAACAATTTAAAAATAATATTAACTTTATTTTGATCCATTCATAATAGCTTATACAATTGTATTATTTGGATTGTAGGATATAATGCCATGGAGAAATACTCTCCTTATTATGAGAGTATCCTTATTATATAAAAATGAAGCAAATAATAAAAGTATCAATTAATTTGATAGACCCAAAATAGGTATAAAAAACCATTGAAGTAAAAGATTAATTTAACTGTCTTTATGGACTTGTATTGACATTTTGCATTGGCAATTATTATATATTATTATATGACAGTTTTTTTAATTACTTAATCTGATTTGTTATAAGTCAATAACAACATACCTTGTAGTATCATGTGAACTCAATCTCCCAGGTAATATTTTCAAAAATCTTAAAAAATATTTGACGTGCTTTCCATGTGAGAGCTTTGGTAAATTTTTGAGATCATCTCCACATTCCTTATTGAATGACTCAGAAGAATTCATGGTATAAAATATAAAATAAAATTATCACTAAACCGGTAAGTTGATTTTAAATACTGAATTTACAAGAGTATTAATAAAATTATGAATATATAATTTTTGTAATTTAATAAAAAGATATAAAATTAAATAAAATACATGGTATATAATGTGGGGGTTCTAAAATACTATATATCATTTTGACGTATATAAGATAACCATGTTTCACAAACTAACGAATTCCGATAAACGTCACAAGTCGAGTTATGGCAGAGGCTTCAAAGATGGCGGAAGGATTATGTCAAAAATTTATGGAAGGAAATGGAATATGTCAAGTTTCTGGAAGGAATATGTCAAATTAATTAAATTCATATTATTAACTAGTGGAAGGAACATTTTGCCTTAAGGCAAGTTGCATTAACTTTCCGATACATATATGTAATGTACATAATGAACTTAATAAGAATTGATATTCAGCTATTTTAGGGGCGTCCATTAACCATGTGAGCGAGCTTTTGAGGATTTTTGGAACCCCCCCCCTCACCCTTGGTGATCCATGTTGATATTCAAAATTACCACCCTCTCCCCGCCAAACACCACGTGTATTTTCTGTTGTGTGAAAAAACTGTACATTTTTTATTTTTTTTTTTTGAAAACGTTTGAACTTTTTTTTAAAAAAATGTTAAAAAATAAATACACGCGATATCTTACCCCTTACGCCCAATCTCTCACGTGACATTTCGTAATTTTTGGTGAAACCCCCCCCCTCCCCCTAAAAACCGCACGTGATTAATAGACGCCCCCTTTGGTAAAATGTTCAACCGTTGATTTCAAAAATGAAATTTTTGCTTTGACTACAAATTAATTAGTTGGATTTCCAACTGACGTATTACAAATATAGTTATAATGTATCCAATTGTATAAATTAATTTGTGTAACACATTTCATTTCATCCAATGTACTTTATTTAAGTGTGGACGTAAACTGTAATCAGTAAGCACATATGCACGATAGGCTCAAATTCTGATTAGAATCTCTTAAGCAGTATTCTAATTTTTAATGATTTTTTGTAATTCAACCACTTATCGTAGGACTATAATGTTTTAGTATGTTATTTCAGACTACGATATCTAAAGTCATACAAAGTTTCATTAAAATCGTCCAAAAAACGCAACATTTAATTGTAAAAAATGGGTCCAGCTCATCTTTACCAAAAGTCTTATTTAAATAACGTGATTTTCAACCAATATATTTTGAACAATTGTTGATTTTTTTCAATCGATTCGAGACTGCGGGCTAAAAAGTCGACAAAAATTTTGACATTTTCCTGCTAATTAAAAAAAAGGCTGAGCCGATAAACTCTAATCCTTATCGAATTACATCGAATAACTTTTAAATTTTTCAAAATCGGTTCAGTCGCTTACGAGAATACGTAGACAGAAAATTAAAAATCGGCTCGCATACGCACACACATCCACACACACGATTTCCTAATTTTTTTTTATTCGATTCAGAATGACTAGAATTGTCGGATTTTTTCGCAAAAAGAAACTTCTTCTGGAAGTTAACAAATGTTAAAGATAAGTATAAAAGGATAATGATAATAATGTAGACATTTTTCTGACAATTTTCTGTGTCGTAATACTTTTATGTCTATCTTTATTATTATTTTTAACATAAATGTGCACTTAAGCAATTACCAGAGCTTCCATCCGCTGTATAAATGTAGAAAATTCCGGCTTCCGCTTGACTAGTAGTTCTGGAAGGTTGACTTGCTTTGGGAAAGTCGAGGCTTAATCTTCAAAACTATTTCAATAATAAAATCGAAAATGTAACATGAATACTGTATTTATGCTTCAACGCTTATGCCAGCATAAAATAATTACCGATTTATATATAAACAACTTTGTAAAGCAGTCAAGTTCTATATATTTATAGTTTTCTTGGTTTATTTTGTACAAACTTCAACAATATAATTAATAATTAGAATAAATTATATAATAATCAAAATATCATAACTGTTATACTATTATTACGTATAAATTTTATCTACAATAACGAAAATGCCAAAAACATTTGGTATCCATCAGCGTTCAGAACTATGGGAAGATTAGTTCTGAAACTGATAGACTTGACATTTAACAAAAATGAAAAATCTTCAGAACATGTAACCAAACGGGCGTAGCGCTGTGCGTTAGCGTCCCATGTGGAAATGGGGACGTTTTCACCCACCAGCCTCGCGTGCAAAACAACAACAAAAAGCGAGAGCTGTCTCCCAAAGCGAAATGCGATTAAGAATCTTTTCGCTATTTGTACAACACAGCCCGCAGAGAGCAATGTATCTGCACCAGTCATTCAGATATAATCACTTCAACATTTTAATTTGATATGGTATTCAAACTTTTTTCCTTTACATATGGATTAGTATGCAGTTATCCAGTTTTTAAGATGTTTAAGAAAACATATGATTGCAATAAATACAAGTGCAATGCTAGCTAATAACAAGCATATATAAACTTATTTTAAAATTTAGTAAAAAATATACTAAAAGCTGGCTCATAGACACTGATTCATATGTAGGAAGTTCTTTACCAAGGCCAATAAACTCTTCAATTATTATCCTGAACTACTTTTCAAAAATTTCAGTGTGATTAACTTTTTGTAAAATCGTCGTTTCTTAGCGAACCAATGCATTGCTGAATAGTGCGCCGTGTTGTACTGTTCATTTCTATGTACAGCAATTGTACTGCTTCTACATCGCGACGCGAGTTTCATGTCCAGACACGACGGTGGGAAGGTTGCCGTCATCTGCACGCGATCCTCGCGTAAGCGTCATTATGAAGCACATTCCCGAATAGAAAAAACGTCAAGAACATTGTGTGACATGTGAAGTCTTTGTTGTGTGAATGTGGTGAATGTCTAGTTTATAATAATAAATATATTTTATACAATGGCTAAAAATCTTTAAAGTGTTAACAAACAAGCAACCTTTTTATTGTTATATCATTTTTGCAGGCAAACGTTTTAAAAAGTTTTTTTTTATTTACCGTAATTATTACATACTAAATTCAATTGATTATTCAAAAGCCTATTATTTTTTTATTTATTATTATTATTTGAATAGCTCGCCCCACCCCCTTAATAACATCGCAGAAAGAAAATAGAGCCGAAGAGTGCGTTTTGTAAGAAGCCGTTATTAGTTATTATTTAATTTATTTATTTATGTTTTTTTATTTTGTTAATGAAGTAAAATTGTTCGCGGCACCACTAACTTATTTCAGAGAGTCACTGTTTTAGCACTAGGCGTCTCACGCTTCGCGGAGCCGCGTCACTAACGTTATTAGTTCTGGTGTCAGGAGTCATCGTTGCGATCATTGGGGGCGAGGCGAGCCCCGGCTCAAACGTCCGCCGTGCGCGATGTGGCGCTTGGAGAGCGCGAGTGCAGAACGACGCGTGGCCCGTTCTTCGTCACGTAGCCATCGCTTTCCACCAGCACGGCAGTCTGTCTCGCCTCGGAGCCGTTGGCTTCATCATCCGCCGTATCGTCGGCCGTATCGCCGCCTTCGCCTTCTGTGTCGCCATCGCGGTGTCGTTTGTGCTTGCGCCACGCGTTCTGTATCAGACGAGCGCAATATTCCTCGCGTTGCCGCCATAGCGTCGAGCTGACGGGCTCGTAGCCAACTTCGTCCGGACGTGTGTTCACGCCTTCCAGATCGCCCGTCTCTTCAATCGGATTGCCTTTTCGGGCGAAGAAGTCCTTCGTTAAGGCATCCAGAATGTCTACGCAGAACATGTTATCGCCTTTGCAAATAGGAATGTCCATAGAGACAATTTTATATTTATTTGGTTTGTGAATCTGGAGCGGTGGCTCAAGAACGTCCAGAAAATCTGACAGCTGATCGTAACGGATATATTGCGTTCCGTCCGGATCAAATTGCTGCCATATTTCATAGTACATATCATAGTCATCATCTGTCAAACCTTCTTGCACATCTTCTGTCGCCTGGGAATAGTTCTCGAGAATGACAGCGATGTACATGTTGATGACAATCAAGAAACTGATGACGAGGTAGGAGAGTAGATAAGTAATGCCAATAGTGGCTGAACCGCAGTTTCCAGGGTAACCGATCTCGTTGTTCGGTTGCCGGCAATCTTCTTCGTTAATAATTCCGTCTAACACAGAATCCCAACCAGCAGATGTAGACATCTGGCAAAATAAAAAAAGTGCTTACTTAACAAGTTAATTTAAAAATATTAACAATAAAAAAAATAATTTACGCTATTACTTATAATCTACACGAGGTTTTATTTTCTATATATAATTATAGAATTTATATAATAATACTAGCAAACAGGGCGAACTTCGTTTCACCACCAGATTGTTTCATTTTATGTAACATTTCGTTTGGTGATAAAAAGATGAAGAAGAAAATTGTCTGCTGTTGAAATTGAATGAAAATTTGCACAATACACGTGATTGATTTGATGGTTTTCAATTGTAATGTTAGGAAACGAATAACTTATTTTTTTACATTTTTTGCACAATTTCACAGTGAACACAATGCCAGTTTGTCACATGAAATTAACTGAGCGGAGAACAATGAGTAGCTGTCAAACAAAAAAGTAGCAGTCAAACAAAAAATATTAGTTTGTAGTACATGCTAAGTATCAGAGATGACGCTGCATGTGAAAAACAATTTTTCCGCTTTTATAGAGTTTTTTTTTCAATTTTCTTTGCTATAAACCTCGCGGAGCCCGAGACCTTTCCAACGAATGCAAAATTGTTGAAATCGGTTCGTGCGTTCTGGAGTTAAATCGTCAGGAAGGAAAACTCGACTAATTTTTATATACTAGATAATAACATAATTTTAACATTTTTTAATTAATTTTTCTTACCTGAAAGAGAAGAATCATACTCTGCCCAAATGTCTTGAAATTATAAACATCATCAAGACCGCTCTTGTCCTTGACGTGCATGAAAAATGACATGCCGAATATAGCGAATATGAACATGACAAGAAACAGCAACAAGCAAATATTAAACAGAGCTGGCAAGGACATGGCAAGCGCGAACAGTAGCGTCCTGATGCCTTTGGCTCCTTTTACGAGACGAAGTACTCGTCCAACTTTCGCCACACGCACCACTCGAAGCAGCGTGGGAGATACGAAATATTTCTCAATCAAGTCACTCAATACGAGACCTATGTAAAAAAAAAATAGATAATTCAATAATATATTCCTTGAATTCTGTTTATTTTATGCAATTATGGATTGAATTATTTTATTATTAATCATTCTATTATTATTAATTTACCTAATATTGATAAGATAACTACAACAAAGTCGAAGAGATTCCAAGGTTCAACGAAGTAGTGATACCTCAGGGCGAATATCTTCATAAGACATTCCGAACTAAATATCACAATGAAGATCATATTTAGATTGTCTAGTACCATACTATATGTAGAGCTTTGCTTGTAGTGATCCATCGTCATGGTGAGCATATTGAAACCGATGAACAACATAATAATCATGTCGAATTTTTTATTTGTTACTATTTCGAATACTATTGCTTGAGGACGCCACTAGAATCAGAAAAATAGAATACATAAATCCAGACTTAAACTTGATATTGGATCAAAGAAATTATTGTAAATGTTATTTTTACTGACCCTGGGCCTAGGAATTGCTTTCAATGGTTTCTTTGAACCCATTTTCTTCATGGCATTATAATACTTTTTCTGATCTTCTGTCATGAACATTTCCAAGGAACCACCAGCTTTCTTCTTCTGTTCATTGAAGTTGTCGATGATGACTCCGATAAACAGATTTAAAGTGAAGAACGAACCGAATATGATAAAGAAGACGAAATATAAATACATATAAATGTTCGTCTCTCTTATAGGCTGCTTATCGACCTATGTATAAAATTATGTAATTTATTATTAAGTTAATAATTATTAATAAATTATATATGACAACCCAAACAGTTGTCCCATCTCAATGCGATGGGTCAACTGTTTAAAATGGGAATTTTATTATTACAATTTCTGTAAGACTACAATTTATTTTATTGATGCAGCAATGCATCATAGTATAAGCTATTTTTAGTTGAAAATATATTAAACCAGAGACTTTTGATTGGAATCCCATAGCATTATAATACTTTTCTCTAATTTCTCTTTCTAAAATATACCTCTCTCGAATCAATCGCATCGTTCATAATGGCCATCCATCCTTTGAAGGTGGCCACTTGAAATAGGCACAAATAAGCTTTTCCGACGTGATCGAAGTTCATTGGCGAATTATCCCAAGTGTAGTTTTCAGCTATGCAAGCATTTCGATCTGGTATAATTTCATGACTCAGTGTCGTCTTGTTTGCATCCACGCACTAAAAATAAAGAAATCATGAAAAAAAACATAATATAAATATTACAGTTTATTTTACATTTAAAATGAAATTGTTTTTACCTTGAAGTATTTCCCAGCGAATAACTGAACGCCCATGATAGCGAATATCAGCCAGAAAATGAGACACACAAGTAATACATTGAAGATGGACGGTATAGCCTGAACGAGAGCGTTCACTACGACCTATATTTGAGTCAAAAAATTATATAAATATGTGAAATATTTTGAGAATTAATTTATTTTATATTTCAAAATCAATGTTTACACTTAAAGTAAAAAAAAATCTACTAATAGATAAAAATCTATTCACATTATCTATAAATTTGATGTTCTATTGAATACAAATATACTATTTTCAACTGAAATTATGATAAATTAAAAAGTTCAATAATTACTTTAATCAATGAGAAGTAATATTTGCATATAATAATTATATATAAAACCCACCTTGCATCTAACATGTATGAAATTTCAAACATAATTAAATATTTTTATAAATAATCATGCAAAGAAATATATTTCATGCAGCAATAATTATACGATAATGAAGACATAAATTTTTAAATACACATGCGCCGAGTAAATGAATTATATGAAGATATGAAAAGGAAATTTTTAATTAAATGAATATCTTGCAAAATTTAATGAAACAGTGATCATAAGTAAAGCCAATTCTATTACAGCATTAAAAGCATGCAAATGTTATTTATATATATACGAGAAAATTTAATGAAACAGTGATCATAAGTAAAGCCAATTCTATTACAGCATAAAAAGCATGCAAATGTTATTTATATATATACTCGTATAATTGATTAAACAATTATTTCTACATCATACGTGTCGATCATGCTATCCTATTATTGCAAATTAAGTGGTACTATAGATTAATTTCCAAATATTAAATTACAACGAGTTAATAAAAAATAGTAGTAAAGTTATTTCAGTGTGTCGTATATGCTAGTTGCCAGTAATATTGTAAAATGTCTTGATCATTACAATGCTATTTGAAGAATGCTTTTCAGAAGAATATTCTTAAACGAATAATGTTCATTGCTTATTCATTGTTTATTTATCACTTGTAGATTTTTTTAACAGAAGTAGATATTTTACAAGTTGAATTTGATATTATACAATCTGCTTTAATATAGTTATTGAGAGGGCAACCCAGCGGTCAACATATTATTTGTTATGTTTGAACTATATATATTGGATTTACTTCTAATAGTATTGGCGTGTTTGTGTGGCATCAATATCTACGAAAGGTGATTTTCACTTGAGATTATATTTGATTGAGATCTATAACCTTAAGTAGAAATTGGATATCATACTGCTTGATATCGAGCTGGCCAAGATTGAGATTAAATATACCATGGCGGCCTCCATGAAGATTGAAGTGTGCAATATGTTTTGTTTAGCATAATATATGTGCTTGTGTGTGAGATTCTGTTATGTTAGTATAAGCTATATCTACGGACTACTATGATATGGTGTGTTGAGAATAAAACTAATCGTTCAGACATTTTATTAAATATAACAGATTATTAAAAAATTGTCGCAAAGAGTTTACCTAACTTTATCTTTTAAGATTATTTTAAAGATAAAGCGGGGGCAGTAAAAAAATTGTTTATAAATATAGTAGAACTCTTTGCGGCCTTTTCCTAGTTAAATACTATGAATCAAATACAAAACAGTCAATTGAGGATGCCAAAGTTTCTACGGCTACATGAATTATCTACGTTTAAGATGCATGACAAAAATGGGGTCTAACATTTTCGAACGTGTCTACAATTTGAAAATAAAATATGCATAATCTAAATGTGTAGGGCATTCTCTGAGTTTCTAATAAGGGCATCTAATGAAAAACTGAACATTGGTTTTTGAATCTGGGGGTCAATTGTTGCGCGCTACGTACCCTCATGCCCTGCATACGGCTCATGGCTCTGAGCGGACGGAGCGCCCTTAAAGTTCGCATGGTTTTGAAGGCTTGGATACCTCCTGCACCGGCCAGAGAGGCTACGAAGTTTATGAGCGAGACCTAAGACGCGGCAAGCATTTGGGAAGAAAGAGCATTATGGGTCATTTCATGTTTCCAACTCTCTATACAGTTGAAATTGCTAAGGTAACTTATTTCAGTTCCTATAACGTTTAACGCCTTATGGCAACCTGATTATTGGTTATATTCGATGCTACACTGCATATGGTATCTTGGCATTAAAATTAATATTCATATTAAATACTAAGTGGTGATATTTTTTTAATATAAAACGTTCTATTAATTTCTTAAAAATCGAACTACTAAAAACAAATAAATTATTCATATTGATAAATGCACAATTAAAGCAGTAAGGCTTTTTTACAATATTTGCCAAGACGTTGCATAGGCTATAATACCCAAATATATTACATTTGTATATATACATACATATATATGTATATAATATGCTTATGTATATGTTTGTATTTATATTAGGGTGGTCCTTAATATGGACATTTTCGAATTTCCTTGCTCCCAGGAGCTCAAATGCTTCCACATTGATAAAAAAAAATACTCTAAAAGTTTTAGCTCAATATTGTCTTTTAGATAGTGCGCGATTCAATCAAAATTTTGTATGGAAATAGCATGAAAAAATTCTCAAAAATTTTAAAAATGTTTTTCAGATATAACTTAGCAAACAAATGAATGAGTTTCATTCAAAATTCGACGCTCTACAAAACAAATTATAAAATACCTGTTATGTAGAGCGTCGAATTTTCAATATAAGATGACACGTATTGTTACTTTTGATTCATTTGTCGCTAAGTTATACATAAAAAACATTTTTAAAATTTTCGAAATTTTTTCCATGCTTTTTCCATACAAAGCTTTGATTGAAATGCGCACTATCTAAACGTTAATATTAAGAGCTAAAACTTTTAGAGATCTTTCTCTTATCAATTTAGAAGCATTTAAGCCCTCGGGAGCAATAAAATTCAAAAATGTCCATATTAAGAACCACCCTAATGTATATACATATATACAAGAGCACGTATTTCTCTGAAATAGAAAGAATTTGCGAAGAAGACAAGTCAAGAATACACCATCAATTATCAAACCCATCAATAGCCAAGTTGTACACCTGCAACACGATTAAAGCTTTGCAAAACAATCGTAATTCGAATTACGACTGATTAAATTAGTTTCGGAACTAATTTTTATTATAAAATATTTTTTCGTGTAATTCGAACCACGACGTTTCCCATCGATCACAACACCATCATTGCCATAAACACACCGAAATGAAGAAATGATCAAAAACTGTGTCGCCAACCATGAATCATGGATATGCAGTATGAGGTGACACTAACCAAATCAAATCATAACTTTGGATTACGACAGAGAAAAATCGTTCAGCAATTTCAAGAGAGGGAGAGAGAGAAGGTTATAGAATGCATTTTGGCGTGAAATTGTGATCTCCTCGGTGTACTCTCTCCTTACTTACTCTCATGCCTTCCCAACGGCTGACCGCCCTGAGCGGCCTCAGAGCACGGAGCGTTCGCATCGAGCGGAATGCCGGGATGTCGGCGGCACCGACCCATATGGCGCCAAGGTTAATGAGCGACAGCTGATTCGTTATTTATGTTTCATATGTGACGAACATTTTTATGGTAATGAAAATAACACATCAGTACTATGAATGTGGCCCTAATAAGCTTAATATTGCATAGTAAGATCTATGATATCTATTTTGATAGTTGTTAATTGACGCCTGATCGTATGAAATAGCAAATGTAGTTGATTACCGTTGTTGTTAGAATGATTATTAAAATATTAGTACCCAATGAGCCATGTTAATGTACGATCATGTTAACTACAATATTCTTCGTTCAAAGCTATAATTATTTAGTATTTCATATAAAGTCAGCACAATTAAAATTGTAATTTTCATGAAAATTTAATTTAGTAACTAATTTTGCATTCTGCTTATTTATTCCATTTGCTGTTACTTTTAACTATGTGATTTTCATTATTCAACTATATTTTAAATTTCTATTATATTTATTATAATAAATTATATCATTAGTATAAAAATGATTTCTTACCATTACTATAACGAAATCCAGCCAGCACCAGGCGTTCGTGAAATACATTTTGAAGCCAAGCGCCAACCACTTGATCAGCATCTCTATGAAAAATATCACTGTGAATATTCGATCCATGTAGTACAATATGTCCTGCAAGATCGGCCGATGTTGGAGATGAACATCCTCCAAAGCCTAAAAATGGTTCATGGTATAGTCACTATACAAATGGAACATTTTACTTCTGCATACTACTACACATGATAAAATTTACAAAAACTTGTTTAATATATGAAAAGTTTAAGGTTTTTAATTTAAATCTCAATTTTATAAATGATATGGTTGGTTATTTTTTAATTCTAGGTAAAACAATTTTACTATTTGTTCGTTTATGACAGTTTAGTTCAAAATCTGATTTTTCTCACCAGAGCCAAACTACTGAGTAGAATCATGGTGATAACCGCCGTCTCAAAGTACTTGTTCTCGATCAGCTGAAACGTTTTCAATCTAAGATTTGCCCAGCCTTGCCAGAAAGGCGCATCGTCATCCCCAGCAAGAAATGGAAACTTCTTATAACATGGTGGTGGGAAACAGTCGGACGGATACTCGTCCATTCCTGCTGCATCTGGATCTACAACAATTGCGGCAGGATGTAAACCAGGTTCTTCTGGTTCGTCACCTTCTTCGCCTGATTCTCTGTCTTCCAAATCTAAACAAAAATAGGTCATTAAATTTATTTTGTTTAAAAGTTTAAAAAACTGTATTTACCATCATCTAATCCAAGATCTTCTTTACTAATATCTCGTTTTTCTTCTCCTTCCATCGTTTCGGCACTGCCTTTATGACTTTCATCTTTGAATGGTCTATTCAGATGACTTCCGTAAGATTTCACACTAAGCACATCATCCTGCAACAAATTGATTTTATCATCAAATGTGCATAATATTATAAAGAAATATTTATTAGTCTGTTTTCTTACCTGTAATCCGTGATTATTAAGTATATCATTTTCTAATCTATTATCCTGGTGATTCCCACTTATGGAGTTGCCAATGGTTTTGGTGTTATTCATTAACATTTTTCCTTTTTTCAGTTTATTTTTTAAATCTCCTGATAGTTGAAATTGGTGAATAATCATTTCAATCTAGTTACCACTACAGTATTTTTTATATTTTACTCACCATGTATCGTAAATTCCATTCCCTCACCTATCGCTACTTCTAATTGGTTCAAATCTTTGGAAGACTTTCTGAGTATACCATCGGCCAAGATTTCGTCTGTTCCTAATTCAATTTCTGTTTCCCCGGCATGATCTGAGAGAAGGAAGGGAAAATCCACATTGTGTGGATACAGTAGTTTATATTTTGAAAGTGTTTTACTAATTTGACACAGATTAATAAAACCATCAAAATTTAGAAAAATTCAATTATTTTTGGAAAATGACATTCTAAAGTAACACCTGCAAGATGATTATTTTGTTATTCAGTGTCAACTTCACTAGTAGTTTTAGTTATTTATCTTGCAAATGTTTGTTTTATTCTAACATATATGCTCTCATGGATATTTTTATTTAATCGATTTCAGTAAAATATTGATTACAGTTGTAAAAATGTACAAAGCAATGTGCCAAAGCTTATTTGCGTGTTATATGCCAAGTTATATGCGAAGCTGTAAAATAAAAAAGAATATATTGATATTTAAAACTTAAAAGCATTGTAAGTGGATTTGTACAAAGCGTGAAAATTTTTTAAAGCATATTTTGCAGTACTTGATCGCATCATATATAATATATTTTCAATACCAATTGATATATAAAATGTTCATAAAATTTATTATTACTATTTCCATGAAAGCACAATGTACATAATTTCAAATGAACAGAAAAGTAAAACCAATTCCACCAATTTAGCAAATCGAGCGAATCGATCTCATCTCAAATATCTCGATATTATGCATACATTACATGAACGGAAACCGTAAAATATTATTTGCAAAGCGTTTTATTAATTTCAAAAAGCGCGTCTATTTAAATGAACTACACGATTTACGCGACGTGATATTTAAGTGAGCGAGATGATAAAAACCTTCTTTCCAACTGGTGGACGGGCCCTCACCTGCACCGTGGCGATCGGATATCTGATTCGTCAGTTTGTTCTTAACCAATTTAGCTGCATCAGCTATATTTCTTTTGACCCAATTGATGAAACGAGATATTCTGTTGAATGCCTCGGCAATCTTGTTTGTGTCGTTGTCCGCTGTTGGGGCTGATAAGCTCGAAGAACCGAAGTTCGACAAGAGCAAGGCCAAGAAGAGATTCAATACCTGTTTGATAATGTTCAAATATAATTCAGTCGATTATAAATTCACTATGTAACTGCACTGAAATAGGTGGCAACCTGCTTTAAATATATTACAGCCGTGGGTTTCGAACCCGATCAGTTTCGACTTTTTTATCTACTAACGCGAAAGAAAATTACGGTGACGCGCTAACCAACTCAGCTATAACGTTTTACTAACTGTGCAATAAAAGTCCAATTTGCTTGAATGTTTGTTAATTTTTAAAGGAATAACAGATCAATCAATTTGTCAGAAACTCGTGTTGACAGTGTGTAGAGCTTTTTAGCATTTTGAGAGAAAAAGTCCATTTACTCAAGAATTAAAAAATTACAAACTAATTTAGAATTCATTTGTTTTAATTAGCACGATAGTTCTAAAGATTTAAATGTTTTTCAAAAATATCATATATGTATATAAAAATAGTAATATATATTAAAATGTCATTGGCATTGGCTCTAAGGGCACCATTTTGTACCCCACTTATTTAATTATATACTTACCACAAAATTACCAATGACAACAGTAGCCAAGAAGAAAGGAATACAGCTGACATCACCTACAAGCATGCAATCCCACATAGACTCTATCCACTCTCCACAAAGCACACGAAACACAATCATAAATGAGTGCATGAAATCTGTAAAGTTCCATCTAGGTAGCTCTCCATCGGGAAAACGATCGACTTTATCTATATAACAATATAATCGTATATAAAAATCAATCATTACATATTAATATAATTGGATTCAAAATCTTCTTACCATAATAATTTTTTCCAAACAACTGCATACCCATTACGGCGAATATGAAGATGATAATACACAACACAAACGTTAGATTACCCAAGGCACCCATCGTTCGACCCATAATGGATATAAGCAAATTCAGCGTTGGCCAAGATTTAGCTAATTTGAATACTCGGAGCTGTAATAGAAAAAATAATTTAAATAAATTAACTGCAATGAAAAAATTCTTATTCACCAGTAGTTTTAAAGAACAGGTATGACAATTCTGAAACTAGTTTGTTTAGGTCTATGAATAACAGTTAATTACTAGGATTCTTTTTACCAACATCGAAGAAAGTTTCGATATTATTGACGACTTAATGAAAATTACGAAGTGCATTGTTTTAGTGTCCGAATACAAATAAATTGAATATAAGGATTCCTTTAACCTTAATAGGATCTTACTGTTTAAGTACAATCACAAAATTCAATTAATTGTAAGTTTCGTTTTTTTCATTATTTTAAGTAGATTGATATAAAAATATATTTACCAATCGGAATGATCTCAACACTGACAAGCCTTGTACACCTTCTAATCCAAGTTCCAGAAGAGAAAGAGCTACAATAATGAAATCGAAAATATTCCAGCCTTCTTGAAAGTAAAACTTTGGAGACATGGCGATCAGTTTAAGAGTGGCTTCTATCGCAAACGTCGCAGTGAAGAACTATTAAAAAATATAATCAAATTATTTTTTAAATCTAAGTTTAGAAAAAAAATTATTCATCTAAGCATCCAACATCAAGTTCTTAATATGAAAATTAAGTTATGGTTATAAGATTTTCAATAAAATTTCTATTTTTTAAATACGATCCGTAACCTAATTTGACACTTCTTTAATGGATACATTACACAAATTATATAAACAAAAATAAACCATGAATGAATTTAAATGAAATAGTAAAAATTTTTATTTATATTTGAATTAAAAATATCCAACTATAATAACCATGTTAAGTTATGTGTCTGTTTCGAAACGTAAGCAAGATCTATTAAAATTATTTGAACATAACTTAGTCCTTAGTCTTACATTTAGACTTAGACTTCAACCCATAGTGATAAATCTTAAAGCAAAGGTGAAAACAACATGTCGTCCAACATGTTGTTCGGACGTATTTTCGTATTATTATATTGGCCATGAGGTGACAATCTTCATGGCATTGGGCTTTTACGCGGAATAGTTGCTATCCCTGGTAGAGGGGATTGCAGAGAGTTTAATGGGACTTAGAATTGAGTCATTTTTTAGGTTATTCATTAATTAATTCCAAATAAATTAATAAATTATTACTCACATAGTTGCCACTCTTGAGCGCTTTCTCCATGTCCTTATTCATATCGTGATGATCCAGTGCCATGAACAACGTGTTGACGACAATGCAGAGTGTGATGAACAATTCCACAAACGGGTCGAAAACCAACAGTGCGACCCATTCCTGGAATTTCAGCCAGACCCAACAGCAGTCCCAAACGCAGAACAAATCTATACCTTTCATAAGAACCTCTAAAGCTTTTTCTTTCATAGTAGGACCATCTTCGTCCTCCTCTGTTGGAAAATAGTAGACGGACACTGAACATGTGTTTGTGTTAGTATAGGTTATAGCCACTCTTTTTCGGGGAAAGAGATTTTTTGGGGAAAACAGAAAATTTTTATTTCAACTTAAATCGGTTTTGTCTATGAAAGCTTGCTTTTATGTCGAAAAATATAATTATCAATTTATATTTTTTTAAATTAACTGGATAAGTTATAATGCAGCTAGATAATTGATACAATTATAAATTTTAATTAATATAATTGAAGATCTCAAATATTTAATATATTTTAAAATAATCTGCAGTCTAATATATTTTAAAATTTTTAGACAATATTGTGATAATGTAAATGAATATTTGGTAAACTCAACTTACTTTTTTATGTCAGTAAAAAGTATGTAGAAAATTATTTAAATTAGTAAATTCAAACTGTGAATTTGAATTCGGATATATGTTAAAAAATACTAAAAATTACAAAAATAAATGTTTTAAGAAGGTGAAAATTTTAAGAAGGTAACAAAGAGTATCTAATATAATATATTTTGAAATTATTATTTTGCTCTAATAATATTTTTTTTTCTAGTAATAAAAAACAACTTCACAAAAATTAGTGAACGTGTATTTCCAGTTTGCAATCCCAAATAAACTAAACTCTTGCTAAAATATTTTTTAGAACAGTTTAAATTAAGTTAAGCGTTTTTTAAATTCCTATTAAAAATAAATAAGGTACAAATGATATTTTAACTTAAGAGGAGTTGCATGATCTTCCTGATATGTGTAAATAATCAATTGAATTAATCAATAGTTGAAGTTTATCAGAACTATATTTTAATAAATTTTAATCATTAAACCACTTTTGTAGATTTATAGTATTTTAGAATGTTCGTTCAGTTAGACCATAAGTTATATATCCATGCAAAGTTCCTAAAAAGTAGTTAAACAATTCAACAACTAATTACAAAAAACTGTAAGTGATCTTTACCAAATACGAATCAGAACGATTTTCAACTGTTATATTTCAAACAATTTTTATATTTTTAAAGGTTCAGAATTTTTATCAATTATAAAGAAACGGCTGAGACGATTATCAGACAAAACTATCCAATTTAAATTTTTAAACTCAGTACAGTCTTTTTTGACAAAACGTTTTGAGACGTCCATAATTAGAATACCGGATTGAATTATAATTAGAAAACTTTTTATTTAGAACGTTGATGAATATCATGATGTTTCAAATCATAATCATCTAACCACTTTAATTATAAAATGTAAGCAATAATTTACATATATGTTGAAATAATATGTTTAGCTGCATTATAACTATCTCAAATCTAAATATATCCATTATTTTTGAATTTATACGACAAAAAACGAAGCTTTCAATAACCGAGTCCTTGTTCTAGATTTGATAACAACTAGTAATCATGATGCCGAAATTGCTTCGAATTTTCTTACGAGTACACTATGTAAGTAGATACTTATATGAAAATAAATACATAAGCTACTGTCGTATATGTCATTCATGTATTCTGAGTATGTGAAACCAATATTTGGCTTTGCTCAACTGTTTTGATGTTGAGTTCAATAATTCAAGTGAATACATATTGCACCTTGATAAAATTATGAAGTGCGAACACGTTCTGAGAAGTTGTCATAAAATACTAGTCCTCATCAAGTGCAAGAACGTTACATGTATTTTGATTATGCCACATCGATATATAAGCATTAACTAAAAAAAATTATAACCAAATCCTTTATATTCAGTCTTATAAATGACATTTTTTTTATAAAATTATTTGCCAAATTATTAATTAAGCTAGCCATCATAATCTAAGCAACATGAATTTAAAATATTGTAATCAATGCTTATATAGAGTACATGATCATACTCAATTTTATAATATTCTTCATAATAGATATTATTTCTATTATTAAATTTAGAAAAAGTATGTAATAATATTGATTTCGTATTTTTGTTTAGTTTTGTGTACTGAAGTAAATGTATGGAAAAATTACTAAATTAATCTGTGTGTAAATAATAATTATTAGTTTAATATCATGCAATAATTTCAGCCAACCAAGCTAAAATTAAGTAGCACTTGTATTTTTAAATGTAAAAATATAAAAAATCTTGTTTGTAAAAATAGTTGGATGGTCTATCCTCATGATAAAAATGTTTTAGAATTGCCAAACTGTACATTTTGATAATTCGTCAATTAAATATTTTTTAACAATATAGATAGACCATCAAAATATTTAATAAAAATTGCAAGATTTAAATATTTTAAATAATGTGTAAAAATATGTTGTATTTAAATAAATTATATAAATGTGAAAACTGTTTTAAAATGCAGGTAAAGTGTAAACAAAATATTTATAAATATTTTTATTTATTGCAAGTGCGTACCTATTATCTAAATAATGGTATTAAGTATATTCAGAATTTTGAACTAAATGGTTTGATATTTAGCTCAGAAATTTGAATATAATAGATATTAGATACGACACTGTAAAATTTGAATAATTGAAGGTTGATATTGTACTTACTTATTATTTACTCTATTTTTGTTTGAAATAATTGATAAAATTTAAATTTAATAAGCTTTAATGTAAAAAATCAACCTTCCATTATATAGAAAAATACATAAATTAACATTAAAAAATGCATTTGTGCAGATAAAAAAGTGCAAGCAGGGTGAATAAAACAAGCCATACATCAATTTAAAAACTGTAGTGTACTCTCAAATTCATGCATATAGAGACTAAAAGGCCAATCAATCGAATAGTCGAATAAAATCTCTTTGCCCAGATAAAAAATAGCCAGGCTGAAAGAAATATATAAATGTTAAATATATATTCATATAACCTAAGGCAATTACCTTTTGGAAACTTCGGCGCAAATAAACTTAAGTGATATCTAAAAATTAATGTATCTTAAGATAACTGTATAGTAAAAATATAGAGAAAGTTTTAAAATTTGCAAAATATATATTATATCTCCGGTAATTTCATTAAACATTGAATAGAAAACAAAAACAGTTAACGATTGGCTTTAATTCATTACTATTTAATACTAAAAGTTCAAAAGTTTGAAGGAGGTGCTACTCAAATTTAGGAATCAAACGACAATAAAATTTAACCCAATAACACATTTTATAGACAAAATTTCACAACACGTACGAGACATATTGACATAAACTACTGATTTTTAGGAGATTGTAGATCGAAGTGTGATTTAATTTTAATTTTAATTAAAATAAATAAAATGATTAGAGGTAGTTAAATTTTATATAATTTAAAAAAAAATAATCGTAGTTAAACTTTTTCAGAAAAATTAGAAAAAGAAGATAAATAGCGAATTCATAAAGCCAGATGCAAGAAAAAAATAAATTTAAAATTAAATCACATATAGTAAAAATAAGCATATATTGCATTATGCTTGTAACAGTTGGAATTATTAGGAAAAATATCATAGGAATTTTGACAAAAACATTGTAAACATATTAACATATATACAAATAGACAAATAACAAAAAACATTGTAAATTTTCATAAAACATACCTCCATGATCACTGACTCTGCTTTGTCGACCAGCTGCTTGTTCGATTATATCGTTTAGCACCATGACATCTGCAAAGTCGAATATATTTATAAAAAATAGTTAAAAGAATCTTATACGAATGCTGTTTAATATACTATAAACATGTTTCAATATACCTTTCATATCTACAACTGTTTGCTGCTGAGCAGGTTCAATAAAAGGATTGTCGATTTGTTTTATTTTTCCCATCTCATCAGTATATTCCATCGAACCATGCTGAAATATTTAAGATTACAATATAGAAATATATATATATATATATATATATATATATATATTTATATATACATAGAGAGAAAGAGAGATTAGGTATAAACATTTATTTTTGGTGAAATTAATGTAATAATCAAAAAGTTAGTTAAGATTTTAGAATGGTTTTCCTCATTAGAGTTTATGAATTGTAACCAATGATCATAATCATTCACAATTAATAATTATCGATAATATATTTCAAATCTTCTCTAAATATTTAAAAAAACATTTTGATAATATTCTATAAAATCACAAAAAAGATGATTCATCAAAGAGATATTCGAGAAAGTTAATTGTCTGTTTGGTCCCATTTCTTTTATCGCTGTCCTCAAATATTTTCGCTTAAATATCACTTAATTTCTAGAAATCATGGTTTTGTTTGTAATAACATAAAAAATAATGTTTACCAAGTGTATCAAAATACAATTGTTTATTACTCACGTGTGGTTCTCGGCCAGGCATCTTGTGATTTGTATCAGTATATGTCGGTTGCTGGGTGATCGGCGTCTGTTGCTGTTGCTGCGCCAGTTGAGCTAGTTGCTGCTGCGTGTTTCGTTGACTTCGACTCCTTAATCTGGATTCCTTGGTAGCACCACCCAGCAAATCGCCGTGGGAAGTGTACGATAAGCGGGAATGATGCGATGTATATGAGGAATGTCGCGAACCTGCAAGGAGGCGAGCTGATCTGTTGATTTGCTGTACTGACTTAACTTAGTTTATAATTCGGATACTCTAACCCTATGGTTAGTTGAGTATTGATCAAATTATATTAGAAAATACTTTGTTTCTTCTAAGGACCAGACAAAATTATTGTTATTAATTAGGCTATAGGGGAAGTTCCGTAACGCCGTGCGGCACCTAGGGCCGGATACTCTATTTAATACGTATTATATAAGCGAGTATAAATCTTTTTATTTCAAAATATAAATGAAAGGGGCGCACAGGTACAGGATCACGCACCAAGCCTCGCCTGTGACGCACACGGCCCCGGCGGAAACAATCGAATGCTGTTTTAGGCGAAAAATCACGACATCGCCTAAATATTAATGAAAGTAATTCTGCATTTAAATTTGAGTAGCATTCAAAGATAAAAGTAGTACTTGATTGTTATTGGATTAATATTATTAGATCTTTTAAACAATTTTAGTATGTACCACCAAATGAACGAAAATGTCTGTCCCTTAGCCCTTAGACGACATTAAGTCGTCTCTTACCGCCGGACAGTAAACATATTGATATTTCTTGTGATAATTGACGTAATTTATTCTAATCATTTAATTTTGTTCTGTATGAGTGCTAACGGTCACTACAAACCCCCATTTTTCGTATTTCCTAGTCAAATAATAAAGAGCTTATGATGAATGCTCCAGCTAAGAGCATCGGTGTGGCCCAGCCAAAAGGGTGAATGAATAGTGACTTTTTTGCATTATCTATAAATGTTCGTCAAACACACATGTGAAGACATTCCAGAGTGTGGAGATGTCTACATATGCGTTCAATGCAGGTAATTTTGAAATGTCCGGTACTAGGCGCCACTTTTTAAAATCATATTTTTTATTACCAAAGTTTGATTAATAATATTAATCATTTTTTGCCAAAGGTTGCGTTTTTGTTAATTTAGTTTGATTTCTATCTTTGTTATCTAACGTAAGTCATAATTTAATAAACATTTCGTAAAATATTTTTTGATTTATATATAAATAGCCTTAGGTGTCCGCCACTCGGAGACTTTCCCCTACGTTCTATTACTAGAAATCTCTGAAAAAATATATCAGCAATTTTCTACTTATTGTATTGAGTTATAAAAAAAGGATAACAAATAAAACTAATATTATTTTAACTAAGGATTATTTTGCCGATACAAAACAGAATATACACGAGTAAATCGAATTATGCAGATTTAGGAAAACATTAATTTAAACATAAATGATTTCTTAAAAAATGCATTTCTTAATTTGCAAAGAAAGTTTTTAACAAATTTTGCTTCGAGTCGAAGTTTTATCTTTGCTCACTCGGAATACGAAAGTACCTAGATTCCCAGGATAGTACACCGGCATGATGATGGCACCATTCTCTTCCGACATTGGAGTGACAGCATTGGAATCGTCTGCATATGGTAAATGTTCTTGCGCATCGAGATACGTGGATAACACTAACGGCTTTCGGTCGCAAACGCCCGCACCATTGGAGGCAGGTCCTCCAGGGTAGCGGCCTCGACCATTCCGCACTGTGAACTGATGGGAACCGCGTGATCCGCGGCGTAAGTTGAAAGGCGAGCCAGGCAGTGATAACGAGGCCTGCGAAAACGATCAAGTAGAGATGTAACATGAGAGACAAAAAATCATTATTTAATTTGTATTAATAATGTTATTGATTTAATATATATGGTAAAATGTTTTACTTATAATTCGTATTTGAGAATTGGATATAAAGTTGTTTTTAATAAATAATACCAAAATCAGTCAGCACTGTGTTTTCATAAATAAAAACGATCTTAAATAAATAAGGGGGCGTCCATTAATCACGTAATCGAGTTCTTAAGAATTTTTAGACCATCCCTTTCCCTTGGTGATAAGTGGTGATATTAAAAATTAAAATTATATATAAAATTGTTTTTAATAAATAATACCGAAAAATCAGACAGCACTATGTGTTTTTACTACCGATATAATATAAAAACTATCTCAAATAAATCATAATATGTATGTATTTCCGCTCCCAAGGACTGACATGCTTCTCAAATAATTAAAAAAAAAAATCTGAAAGCTTTAGCTCTTAATATTAATTTTAAGATAGTCTTCGCTCCAACCAAAGTCTTGGTTCTTCTTCCAGAGCAAATATTTATTTTATAAAATATATCAAATCTTTGTTGTAAATTTTGTATTCATGATCAAAATAAGCAAACACAATGTTGATCTCATAATTTGAAGCTTTTGTTCATAAGTTATAAGGTATAAAGTTCTAAAAAAACAAATGGAATGCCATCCAGATAGTTTCATCATCAGTTTTTTTCCGCAATATTGATCTATGAATCCACATCACTAATTTTTTATCAAAAGAACTTGTAAATTTTTATTTTTGAGAATATTTGAAAATTTTTACTTCACTTCACTTGGTAATAGTTGTAATTTGTAATAATGTTGAAAAAAGTAATTACCAGTGTGTTGCCACATCACTCCCCGTTCAGAATACAACCATTACCAAGTAAAGTCAATTCAAAATTTTCAAATATTCTTAAAAATTTTTAAAAAATGCAATTGACAAAAAATTAAAAACAAAATTATTTTGAGAAACATAATTTAGTTTTCTTTCTATTTTTATTATCTGAATTGATTCAGTCAGTTGATGATTGAGTCAGTTTAATAATTATTTTGTTCAATAATATATAGTATATATATATGTATGTGTGTATACACCAGCACACATGTAAAAGTTTAGTGCACTCTTCGATTATCCAAATATAAAAAATCGTATTTTATGTGTATTATTGTCGACGTTGTCTATATTTTGCCCTTTTATATGACCTATAATAATTTTTTCTTCGTAATTTTTAATTTAGTCTTTTGGTCATTACGCTGAGGAAAAGTAATGAATTTAAGTCAATTCATAATTACATAATTAGTGTTTTGTAATGTCCTGATTATGTGTATATATATAATATATATATATATATATATATATATATATATGTGTGTGTGTATATCTATATACATATTTATATTTGTATAGATTTCTTATTTTTCAATATCACATCCTTACTGATACCGATTTCAAATTTCAAATATTACAAATACATTTTAAATAAATTTGTTTAATAGATTATTAGCTTATATATTTTTGAAAATTAAGTATATTTCTACCAAGTTTTATTTTCTTCGGCTTACTTAAAAAATGTTAGGCCTTCTGAAAATTACTTTAACTACTTTATCAAAGCAATCCAAAAAGAAATTGATGAATTTTTAGAAATTAAGCAATTTTATAAAAATTAATTGAAAATATTTACATTATGGTGCATAACAAGATATTCATCTAAGTAATTTTATAAATACAATAGTTGAATGTGATAAAATTTACTGTAAATAAATAAACATCATGTATAATAATAATATTAATAATGAAATAACTGAAATATTATTTATATAAGTTTAAATTATATTACTAAGTTTGATTTAATTATCTAAATCAAATTACTGGTTAAAAAACCTTATACGTGATATTCTTACGTCTTTCACCATTTTTAAATTGGTTTTTGAGAAACGTACCTGCGAGCCTTCCTGACAAGCAAATGATATCTGGCTTTTAGTTCCGAATTTGGCAAGCCTTTCCTGTTGCTATTATGGAACAAACAAAAATCTATAAAACTCCTAAGCGATACGAAATTATTTCAATCGCAAAAGCTGGCGCTGTCGTAGATCTTATTGGTTTTATAACAATTTTGGCATAAAAGCATATAAAAATAGCATAATAATTTGGCTGCAAATCGCTTTGTTAATCATTTTATAATTTAGCTTTTTGTATGTATTCCGAGGATTTTTTGAACGGCTCATTTCATCAGGTCAATTGAGGAGTAAAGCACGAAAGTACGACCAAAAGTGCACAAAACATCAAATGTTAACATTTATTGAGATCTATCCAAAAATTCAAAAACATTGACAGAATTATATGTTTTTAAATACTTCTTGTGTCGTATTATACAAGTTAAAATATTCATTTATTTTTGGCTAGACCTCTAGAAGTATTATATTTATGAGTAAATTGAATGACAATGATAGTGAAGTAAAGAATGAAAGTGGAGAAACGACCTTTTCCGGAATTTCACATCGCTGAACAGATAAATATCTTACTATGCACCATTTCACATCAATATATTTCTTGTAAGCAAGTTAAAGCAATTTTAAATTACTTTTATATATAAAAAACAAAAAATATTAAGAAGCAGTGAATTTATAAATATTTAAATTTAAAATAATGTCCAAAAGTTTAATGTGATGATGTAAAATTATATATTTTTATTATTCAGTAGTATAGTTTTATATTAAGTATTAGGCATTCTTGAAGTAAAAAATTCATACTCACCTGCAATATTGCAACCCCAAAGTCAAAGTGTCTACTTATTTACAAAAATGTAATTGAATAAAACTTTTGTGAAAAAAGTAGAATAAAATTGATCTTACCTGTATTGCTCTTGGTCTATCATTTTTGTGCAATTTCACAAATTTTAATAACATCGAGTAAATGAATAGAAAATTTAAAATGAAATGGAAGTATATAAAATATGAAGATACATGATGTTTCACAAGAAAATAATGTCAAGGCTAAAGTGCAAATCATCGGATTCAATATTATGCTTGAATTGATGATTATGAATTAGAAAAAGATTATCTATATTAGTTTGTAATAATTTTGTTATACTTGAATCCGATTTTTTCTAATATTTCATGCACATGATAGAACATTAACAGTGTTAAAAGTTCAACAATGGACATGAAGGATTTTGGATATATCGATGGACTATGGAGATCGTCTCGGAATCACTAGCTAGCATCTACTATTTACTTTTTTATTCCTAAATTTAAACTACTGACTAACTCTATCTATCGCAATAATAATTCGTTAAGTTGTACCAATTCATTGATTAATAAAGAGATTCGCAGATTTACGGTTCATAATATTTATATTTTCACATTTAATTAAAATTAATCAAGTAGACTTGTTTCACGTAAATACTATTAGTTAATGATTCTCATTTTAATAGTTCAATATTCAACATAAATGATTAATATTATAATTATAACACATATAGAATTTGAGTATTGGACAAATAATTTGAAAAGTATAATGAAATAACATAATTTTCAAAAAAAATTGTGTAAATAAATTTTTGGAAAATAATCAAAATTAATTAACCAATTTTGTAAAGAAAAACATTTGTCCAATACCCTCCGTTAATTCAAAAGGATAAGGAAGGAAAGCTGATGGAGAAATGCTTCGAGCTTTTTTTATACTAGATTATTTCATTATAATAGCTTATAAACTGTTTGTTGTTTTTGCTCCAAAGTATATAAATTATTTTGATATACAAAACAAAGTTAATTTCCATAATTTCAACTTAGATCTATGGATCTATTTAAGGTATACTTTTTAAAATTTAATTTTGATACGTTTATATTAAGGAATTGAAAACAAACAATAAAAAAATGCAAACGTTAGAAAATAGGAAAAAATGATAATAATATAGAAATAACAAAAAAATGCATTTTCAATCAACACACGTGATATAAAAATATATATTTGGTGAATTTTGAATAATTTTAATTTTGAAAACATGATTGGGCATCCGAGTATAGAAAGGATAAGCAGAGTTATTCCTAAATACAATGAACTTTTGTATATTGATATACTTTCATCATTGCATATAAGAATGCAGAAATGTAGAGGAGTCATTAAAACGCTTCGAAATTAAAAAAATCATGTTGCATAAAGTTGGTTTTCATTATAGTTTTCATAGGAAAAAATGCAAATATTTCGAATGAAATAGTTATGTTTTGTTAAGGATCTCTTTTGTTGAAAAGAGAATGAGTTGGTAGTTACAAATTGTCAAAAGGTAATGGCAAATTCATTGCTGAAATTTAATTGAACGATTTGTATTATATAGATCTCTGAAACCTAACCTCCAAATGGCATAAATTGCAAATAATTTAGTAACAATGTTATTGAAAGTGCAATTTTTTGTTGTTACTCATAATTCCAGAGGCGTGAAGTCAAACTATTCTTATATATTCTTACTGCATGCCATTTGGATTTTGAGTTTAGGGACCGATTCTGCCGCATAGCAGAAAAATGTTATAGCTAGGTCATGTTATGAAAAACTTTCCATACTAATATTGACAAAAGCCATGCGGTTGGTGTGCGAATTTATCAGGTTTTCTCATAGAAAACATAACCTAAAAGCCGCACAAATGTCAAAAAAACGATGTTAGATAACAGTGTGTTTCTGATATAGCTCCATAACATACGAGTGATGTTGCAGTTTATGTGTAAAACGCCTGAGTGAACAGCAAATACATGACATTTTGACAGTATTCAGTATGATTCATTAGCATAATGTTTGGAAGTCAGAGCGTAACATGGTCATGCCGTAACATTTTTTTGTTATGCGGCACAATCGGTCCCAAAATGTAATGCGCGTAACTCTTGAAACAAGTCATCAAACTAAATTATAATTTATGTGTATGTTTCATTTTCCGACGTTTATTAAGCGTTTCATGATCATCCAGGACAGGATAGGTTCGGGTATGATTCGGACAAAAAGACACAGGCGTAGGATGGTGGAGCACTTACCGCGCTGACCCTGCGCGCTTTAGCCGCGGCCTGTCTGGCAGCTATTTGATCTTGCTGTTGCAGCGACGCGGCGGTCGGTCTCTGATATTCGCTCACCGACTCGAGTCCTTCGCTGCGCAGTGACATCTTTTCTCGATTGTTGTCGTCACTGCAACCCTTCTCTTGGCCAACGAAGAGCTCGTAGCTGTGGCAGCTGAAGTCGGACGGTGACTTTATGAGATTCGGATCCTCGGTTATTCCGGCTTCAGCAGCAGCCGCAGCGGCAGCGGCGGCCTCGCGATTCGCTGCGTGGGCCTCCAGTTTGGCGGCTCGTGCTGCTGCCGCTTCTTCCGCTTCCTAAAGGAGGAAAATAAAATTTATCAGTCACCTTTGATTATTGACAGTAAATTAATCTAAACTTTTGAGTTTTTTGAAGTAAAATTTTTGAAGACGCGACATGGGTGTAAATCCGTACAAACGCAACGGAAATTGTTACGGCAAGGTCAAATGAGAGTCATTCGCTCTCGATGATATGATTTCTATACGGGTCGATTCTGATTGGTCGTATTTGTGTAAGGCTTCTTGGTATGCGTGACTTTATACACGCGTACGTCACCGAAAGCGTGCTTTATACGTGCGTACGTCACCGAAAGCGTGCTTTATACGTGCGTACGTCACCGAAAACGTGAAGCATATTATTCAAATTTCATCTAAACCTTTGCAAGAGAGCAAGATGTGAACAATGAGAAAATAGTAAATAAAAAAAGTTTATTGTCAAAGTTTTATTAAAAATATGCCCATAATAATGTGCATTTCAGACAGAAGTTATATTAAACTTATTTGCAATAAATGTATTTTAAGAAATAATGAGTCTGACGATGATAAATTAAACAAAAATACCAAAGAAAGATTTATGAGTAGTAAGAGTTGATATTTTTTTGTTTATTATATTTAATATTATATATTTACATAATAATTTTTAGATTTGTTGTTCAACCTAATAATTGAACTTTACCGCTTTAATCAAATAGTGAAGCTGTTATTTCGTAAAACCTTTTTAATTATATAAAAGCACCTTTTTCCTCGTGGCTGTTTCATTTTACCCCGCAATACCGCATATAGTTTGGAGCAACAAATAACATTTTTGAGAAATAGCAATAAAAAAATTTGAAAATATCTGAGAATTTTAGTGTGTCTAGTTGGATAGTTGTTTGATTAACATGTGCTATGTATTGTTATGTAGTTGGTTTATATAGTTTGTAATTCAAATAATTTTAATAGATACAAAATTATAGAATTTGCCTTAAACCAATAAATTGTCTTGATATAAGTGTCATTTTAACATGGACCAAACATAAATTACCTAAATATGTGAATGAATTCTAGCATTGAACATTTCTACAAGCGTCCTTAGGACATTTCTACATAGACTTGTAATTAATTTTGTCTTAATTCAAAACTAACAAGAATAATTTATTCAAATATAATATTCATATTCCATCCGAAAAAATGGTTATGTACTTACTCTGATGGCTTCTTCTTCAGCTGCTTCTTCCTCTTCTGCTTTCTTTTGCAATTCATCGTACGACATCGCGACGATAGCCAAGATCAAGTTAACCAGATAGAACGATCCCAAAAAAATAATAACTATAAAGAACAACATATGCCATGGTCCAGCCGATCGCAATACCTAAATATAGAAATCACAAATTAACAAAATGCAAATACATTCTATAAATAGGATACGGGGTCTTGATCTCACCAATTGATATAAATTTTCCCAGTAATCTTGTGTCATCAATCTGAACGCCGACAAAAAAGCCCAACCGAAAGTATCAAAACTCGTGTACCCGTAGTTTGGATTACCGCCGAATCCTTGAAGGCACCTGTAGCCCGGAGCGCACTCACTATAACAAAAACAATGTTATTTGTGCCAGCAATTAATTTTTTGTACGAAATTTCGTCGAAGCAAGAAATTTACATACCCAGCACCTGACGAATTTCCACATAAGGGCATGTCTCCGCTCTCCGTAACATACCAATTCGCTAAGGAAAAAAAATGAATTTATACACATTAATATTAAATATTATATATATATATATATATATATATATACCTACGATTTCACACAATATGTTTTAGAACATCATAATAGTACAATAATATTTTATAAATTATTACAACCCACACAAATTATGATAATCTATAGATATATTCGGTACTATTCAATTTGATATTTGTTTTTAGAATAATCACGTTTGTAAATATAAATGTTGAACCCATTTAAATTGATTCTATGCATGTTTACATATTAAACGATTTACAAATAAAATTTTCGAAGTAAACTAATTTTTTAGCGGGAGTTCATTTTTATTTGATTTATGAATGTTTTTTTTATTTATTTGATATACATTTCGTTTGAAATTACATTTCTGTTTGTTTATAGAGTATTCTTTTAAAAACTTCTAAACGCTATTTTAGATACACAATCTATTTGTCGCAGTTCAAGAATTTATATAAGATTTAGATAAAATAGTGACTGTTATTCTATTACAATGCATAAAGGAGGTAAAATCAGTGATCTAAAAAAATCGAGCATTGAATAAAATAATTAAATCTAAAGTCTAAATTAACCCAAATTGCAAACAACCATGACTGTTTTTTTAAAGAACTCCATAAGTCACTATTGAAATATTGTCGTTATAATTTACTGAGCGAGGTTTGGTCACGTTTCAACGCAGAATTAGCCCCATCTTGGAATTTAAAAGATGTCGATGCCATTTTATAGTTTTTTTGAAAAAAAAAATCAGTTATATCAATTTTCAACTATCTAGCTCATCATTTGACCGAAATATCATTGAAAATATGCGAGAAAGGCCTTTTTTGGTCTTTTTTCAGAGTCAATTTTGTTACAACTGTAAAAGAAATCGACAAAAAAATAACCCCATTCTATTCACATCGGTGTATATAATACTAAATTTTTGCATTGACACATCTAATTTCATTTTCTTGACTTTTAAATAGTAACACCGGACGGCACCACGCACCGGACACTCTATTTAACACGCATTACTTAAGCGAGTATAAATCCTTTCATTTCAAAATACAAGTGACAAGGGCATGTGTGGAGATGGTTACATATGTGATCAACGCAGGTTATTTTGAAATGTCCGGTACTAGGTGTCACTGTTTAAAATCATATTTTTCAATACCAAAGCTTGATTGATACTATTAAATATTTTTAGCAAAGATTGCGGTTTTGTTAATTTAGTTTGATTTCTAACTTTGTTATCTAACATAAATCATAATTTAATAAACATTTCGTAAAATATTTTTTTTATTTATTTATAAATAACCTTAGGTGTCCAACACTAGGGGACTTCTATTAATTAAGATAATTTTGAACAAATGTAATAGCAAAAAATGAATAATAATTGGTAATCATAAGTTCTTCTATCAATGTATTTGACAAATTCAATTTAATATTATCGATAGTAGAATTAGTAGAAATAATTAAATTTATCTTACTTTCATTGCTCATGAATCTCTCCCAGTTTTCGTCAGTGAGGTTTCCCCATGAACCGTCCTCCGGAAAATTTTTGATGCATTTTTGCGTGAGGACGCCCATGTAGATTTGTAAGCCCATGAGTGCGAACACAGATAATGAGAACATCGTCAGAATTATCACATCCCGAAGATTCTTCACAGACTCTATGACGGCTCCGACGATGGTCTTCAAACCTTGGTAAAGGATAAATAATTTGTTTATAACTATTTTCATAAAATGAAATGCATAAATTATGATATTTATGAATATTACATTAAGTAAAATAAAAAATAAGTTTATGATAAAAGGTCGAAAGACTAATCTCAAATTTTGTTATAAATATTAATTTAATTGGTTTAAACTGATGTAGAAAAAAAAATAAAAAAATGAATAAAGTATCACTTAATTTTTTTTTAATATAAATATTTATATTAAGTTGTCAAATATCTCCCTTCCGCCTTTTTGTCTTTTGAATTTCAAGCAAAAAAGCGGAAGGGAGATATTTGACAACCTAATACCATTTTCTATTTCACAAAATAATAAAAATGTAACTACATACTTTCAACTAATTGAAAAATTTGAAACTACTCTTTCATTTAATAATTAGAATATTTAATTTGATATTGATATACTTATAGGTTACCAGAGTCTAATAATAGGGTTTAAAATAAAAAAAAAATTGAATAAAAAAAATGATGATTGAAAATCCATACGTTTTATTTGGCTAAACAATACTATAAAAATAATAATACAATATTATTATTTTGCAACGATAATTGGACACACCTAGGTTTATCGATGGCAACCTTTTCGCCAATATCTAAGAATCGTTTTAAAAACGTTAAATAGATAGAGCGGATAATTTCAAGCTTATATATTAGAAATATTATTCAAAATTTTGTGATAAACTTTCACTAAAACAACGATACATAATTAGTTATCAAGCTAGATGAAAAATGATTGGGCTACTAAAATGACTATAATGAAAAAGGTATTTCTAAAGGGCGAGAATTTAGAGTTGTAAGTATTTTTCAATACCGCATTATATAAAATTCAAATTCAAACAAAATTGGTCCAAACCTTAAAAAAGTGTAAGGGTAAACAACTCTAGACAAAATTAAATATTTTAAAGTGAAATTGTAGCTTCTCCATTTGCTTAAGAAAATCTGAATTAAAATTCAGACTTTAAGGATTATTGTTGTTTAAATAAGTGCAATAAAAACAAAAAGGTACTTATCTTATTGCTTGCTTATCTTTATATTAAAAACTATGAAACATTTATATTAAAATAAAATTGGTTCCAAACTTTCTAAAAAGTATTAAGGATGATGAGGAATCCTCGATAAAAACTATATTGTTTAAAGTAAAATTAAGCTTTTCTATAAGCTCAAAACAAATCTGTATAGAAACTTATTGTCTGAAGTTTACTATTGTTTAAATAAGTTTAATAAAAACAAAAATATTTTTATAGCTTGCTTATCTTAATATTAAAAATTATGAAAAATTTAAATTAAAAGAAAATTGGTTCCAAACTTAAAAAAAGTGTTATAGGTAGACAACCCTCGACAAACAGAAATTGTTTGAAGTGAAATTTAAGCTTTTCGATAAGCTGATAAAAATCTGAATTAAAATTTAGTATTTTTTAAACCTTATTGTTGACTGAATAAGTGTAATAAAAATAAAAAGAACTTATAGCTTTCTTATCTCAATATTAAAAATAGAAATAATAATAAACCACGATATGATAATTTAATTAAAATTTATGCATGTGAATACGTACACATTGTAACTGTTCTCATTTTAAATTACTTTACAAGAAATTTATCTAAACCTTTCAAAATATCACAAAACACAAAATTATCAACATGGCTGCTTTATATTTTTGAAAAAGCTTTCTGAAAACAAGTACATATGATTATTAAGCGACTCAATTATGTATTTGTAAAAAAAATCAATTAGTAGATTTAATTCATACCTAAGAATTTCTATTTTCATAACTATTAAAATATTTAAACTTGATATTATTATAACTTATTAAACTAATTTATTTAATCGTGCATGCATCTGTAATTAACAGGTATGATTTAAATCTGACTACCATTATGACCTCATATGTATACGCAACATGTAAAAATAATGAAATTAAAGTAATAATAAACAATTTAACTATTACTTTATAATATTATAAAGATTAATACAATTACTCCATTCATTCAAAATTACCTGGGACGATGGCGACAGTTTTTAAAGCTCGCAGCACTCGAAATGTGCGGAGAGCAGCCAAATTTCCCAAGTCGATACCCATCGTTACATAACTAAATATTAAAATAAGTATAACTATTTATCATAACATCTAATATCATTAAATGAAAAATATAAAACATTATATAACCCTATCTAAAATATGATTTTAAGTTGTATACTAACTGCATGCTGTTGTAAGTATTAGCTAGGTAGAAATAGTTGGTTTTGAAATTTGTTTGAATGCATGCAATCTAATATCAATTTGTAAATAAAATTTATATATTATATATTTATTGAAAACTATTTCTAACTTATATTATTAATCTATGTATTGATATACTACAAGTTAAATTCTATATGAGCATTTAATTAATACTATTTCTTTAAAAAGTCATCTAAATTCTAATAGATTGGCGCACTAAAAGGATTACAAATTAGAACTGCAAAATTAAAATTATCAATTTTTTAAAATAAAATAAGAATTTTTCTCTGAAATTTTTCCTGCAAGGAAATAATGAAATGAAGCCAATCTCTCCTAAGTAATGGGTGAGGTGTAATAATCTCTAAGAGTCTACGCCTACTCACGCTAATGTTATTACTACGAAGTCTAGCCAGTTCCATGCGTCTCTTAAATATGTAAAAGGCTGCAAGATGAAACCTCGGGCCATTACTTTTACAGCCGATTCGAACGTGTAGATTGCCGTGAAGATGACTCTGCAACCACACACGTCACATTATCGAATTTCTTTCAAAAATATTGCTTCGAAGCGAGTTTTTGAAGGTAATTTATGGATTGATAGCAAAGTGTAATAGAAACATAATAATCACTTTACTGCTAGTTTCTAACATGTTTTGATACTTATTAGTCACAATATGATATGAAAACGTAATTAGTAAAATCTGGTTGTTACTGCTAATCATTACTGTAATTTGGTTCATTACTTATTCGTCGCCCACATTTTCTATTATAAACAAAAATGAACAAAAAAATCAATTATTATATTAATTTACTATGGTATTAGTCGCATCATTAACAAGACAACTCACAAAAGTTGATACTTTATCCTAAAATATAATTGCAAACGATATATCATAAATATAATAAACGATATATAACAAAAAATATAAATTCATATTGGAGATATTGTGCTATCAACGGTTACCGCGTGATCTCAATCAAATTTATTTACATAAATTTATAATTTTTATTTTTTTTTCTAGACTTTGGATCTAATTGGATGTGACTATATATACACCAATTCAAATTTTGATTAATTTTCAGGAAGAGTGATGGAGCTAGGGTCTTATTGTAACAAGGGTTACAATTCTAAGGTTTTTTTGTAACAGACGTTTTCCAATAAAATATTAAACGATATCAAAATATTTTTTGTCTCAATTGAACATCTAAACCGTCATAAAGCATATTCTCATAACTACTGCTCCGCAGGCCGATGGAATATACAGAACTGTGCAGGTCCGTCATTTTTGACGTGTAATATAAAATTATTTTACTTTAATTATTAAAATTAATTACTATAATTTTGAGTCACTATTATCAACTAATGTTTAATTTTATGCTTCAACTTTTTAAATTTTTGATAATGTGTAACAATTTCTGTGATCGATAAACTTGTTCAAAGAGTTATCTTGATTAGAAACGAAACCTTGGGGCTAGTTATAATAAAAATATGATGAAGTACGAAAGGTACTTTTAAACCTTGATAGTACACACAACGCTATGCTACCATAACATTAAATATAGGAGGGCAATATGTGCTCCTCCTATTTCTCGTTTGTTAATTAATAGTATTTTATTATTTTACACAAATTTAGTGTTAATATCAATTTTTACATCATAATTAATGTTTCCTGTTTTTCCTAGTTTGATTACTGAATGATGACACACATCAAGTGTCGAAACGTATAATGGAATAAATAATTTTGTTATTTAATCTTTTTTTAATTCGACGGTTGGGCTGCAAAAAAATTTTACAAATATAAAAATATATAAAAATAGTAGAGTTGTAATATATAAAAATTATATACAAATTCAAGTGAAGATGATTGGTATAAGACATAGGCTAAATATCTTTTATTTGTATTCATTTTAGTTTGCGTTGATTTAAGATAAGAATTTCTGTTACAGGAGACACTATGTATTTTATTTGTATTAATCATAGTTTGCGGGGACTTATGAGAAAAATTACTTCAGAAACATGCTAAAATTTTATTGAAGCATATAGCTTTTAATTACTTCTGTAAACGCTTGTAGATCGTTTTTATAATTCAAACATTTTGATAGCAATAATAGTCTTTATAACAAATTTGTATAATACGGGGTAAGTTCTAACACTATATTTTTTTAGAAAATGATTAATTATAATGAACAATAGTTATGGGATTATTTTAACTTGATTCGGTAGAAGAAAAACTACTGAATCTATCCGTCATATTTTGTAAAAATACAATGACTGGATCCCAAAATATAATAATTGAAAAAAACTTTTACAAAGAGCCCCTAGCTCCATTATATCGTATGCTAATCACAATAAACTAGATAAATTTTCTGAAACTAGATAAACATACATATTTAAGAATTACATAAAACTTCATAAAAATAACGGTAGAAATTATACGAATCCTGTGACTGAATACTAACAGATGTATATTACCGTTCTGTAAAAATTTTGCAATTTTTATAATTATCTTCGAGTTTAGTTTTTTTTCGAAATGAAATTTAATTTAAAGATAAAAATAAATGATATCTAACACATTACATATATAAATATATGATCTAATTCGGAATTACTGAATTGAAATTTGCTTCGTGATAAAACACCATTTAAATGGTATTGTAACAATATGCAAATATTTATGTAAATGTATTAAAATAATGAGTTCATTATTTTCATTTCTACCAAAAATAATGACAAAAAACCTTTCCATAACCAGCATAAGTAATACTAAATAAATAGTTCTATAAAAAAACTTTACACGCTGCTAAAACATAAATATTTAATCAAAACTAATATATATGAATACTAAATAACTCTACAAAACTGGATTTTTTCCAACAGTTGTGATGAAGAATTATCGAACTAAATATCTGTATTAGCTAAATCTATAGACTTTTGATTAAAACATGAGATAACTATTGATTTTAAAAGTTATTTCTATTAAAAATGAGATAAAAATTCTAGCATTTTATATTTTATATCTAGATGGAGTTTTAAATTATCACTTACTCTGTGGATTCGACGGTCGGTGAGGAAGGCATGATCATGAGAATACAGTTGACTAAGATCGTTGTGATGATGAAAAGCGAAAATAAGGGATGCACTAAAATATAAATGGCGACTCGGCGTATAGGGTTGAACGGGTCCAGTATCCATAACGCGTCCGTTGCCGAGAAACGAAAAATATCCTTGCCCTTGCTCACCACTACGAAGGTCTGTAGGAAAAAATATTTTCATAATAAATAATAAGAATAATTATTGATTTTTATATATAAACATACACATTCACATTGTTAATTGATGTAAATATTATGAAACATATAAGATTGTAATCATGCTAAAATTTTATTGAAGCATATAGCTTCTAATTACTTCCTCAAACAATTGTACATTGTTTTTATATATTTATACAATCTTGATAGCAATAATAGTCTATATAATAAGCTACCGCATGAAATTCATCAAAGACTTAACTAAATTCAAAATGTAGGTTTAATTCCCATGTTAGTCATATGAGTCTGACTGTAAGAAGTTTTACACAAGCTATGTCAGACATATATGTCTGTCATAGGCAATGTGGTACAAGGAAAAAAAAGTTTTAATATAGGTCCATGTCAGTCATATGTATGACTTGAAAATAATGTTTTTTCAGGAATTTTGGCAAACTTATTTTCTTTGATACATTAAGCTTTCTCGATACATTTGTTACTAAATTATCTAGTAAAGTTACCATGGCCCATGTGAATTTTTTTCTGATATTATCGTGGCGATTAACGTGTTAAAGTGCATCAAAATATTAGTAGTGTACTAAACTTTATTTTTATGTAGGAAAATATTACTGCTTTTGTTATTTTTTAATATTTGTATATTTACTTGTGTATTCCGGTATATGTATATGAGTTTATAAATTCATGTATTACAATTGTAAAATATATTAGAGAATCAGAATTTTTTTGTAAATTATGGAATAAGTGGCAAACATATTCAATTTCTTATTTTCAATTATAAATTTTTTTTTCGAAATTAAAGCTACATTATTAACTTACCGTAGGGTAAGTTATAGTAATGGGCCAAAAATCAAAAATTTTTTTGCATGTCTTTACGTTTTGAAGGTTTTTGAACATTTTCTCATACCTCAGAAAAAATGGATATGTATGTATGTGTGTGTGTGTATTTTGTGTGTCCGCGCACGGATCGACCGATTTGAATGATTTGATAGAATAATGGGCTGATTGATTTTTGCCGAAGGCAGGTTCAGCCGTTTCGGAGATATGAATCAGAGTGCAAAAAATAGGAATCAAGTTTTTGAGAATATGGAGTATCCGATTTGAATGATCTACAAATTATTCAATTTGTAATGACAAAAAGAAGTGGTGATTAGTTCTTGACAAAAGCAGATCTAACCATGTACAGCAGATACAAAGCTAAATGTACAAAAAATGGCAGTTTTGGAGAGAACTAAGCATCCGATTTAAATGATTCAAAAAACTTTTTAATTCTCAAGAGTTTTGTTTTTTGAATATCGAAAATAATTCGAATTTTAATTTTAATTCTAGCCAAAGTTCTAAAGCTCGCTTATATACTTCAAATAAATAATTTTAACCTTTATATAATTCTTTTATATAATTTATATAATTTAACCGTTTATATAATTCTTATAAATATTAGACAATTTCCTTCATGTTAAATTCGATTGATTGAGTTTTAATTTTTGTTAGTTAATTTAAAAACATTTAATATTTTTCGAATACTTCATTACGGTATGGGTTATTCCAGCAATTTGCCTTAAGGCACGATACCATACACCATTAGTTTTTATTTACACATGCTCCTTAAATTTCATAGGTCTATCAATAATAAAAAATCCATTTTCATTTTTTATTTTTCTCCTTATTGTTAAATGATCCCTATAAATGATTACTTATGAATATCACTGAGTATAGTTCTTTGAGATTATTTTAATGCTTTTTGAATAATTAATTAAATGATCAAACAAATTCAATGCTTTATTTGTATCGATGATCAGATAAATAAAATCTAAGCAAAATTTTTACAGTATTTTATAAATCTATTTTATAAGGCAATTACGCAAAATAATCCAAAGATATTAGCTATTTGGAGAAGTTTAAATTGTAATCATTGGAAAAAATAAACCGATAAATCAAGAAATACTGCGCAAAATGGAAAAAGTATTGAACATAAAATCAAAGCTGGTATTGTTTGTAAGAAAATATAACACAGAATTTATATTTAATTCTTAATTTAATGTTTATAGGAAGTATAAAAGAGCATAAAGAAAAATCTAGTAAAAACTAGTTTACACGAAAGAAACAGACTTAAAATAGTTCCCGCTGCAAAGCACAATGTAATTTTTTCGCGATATTTCAAAATACAATAATCCTTTGATTCCTTCAATATAAATTGAATTAAAAAGTTCACCAAATAAAAAGTTCATCACGCTGAAAGAACTTTCAAGCTTGAACTTTCAGTTGAGTGAATGCAAAGCTTACAGTTGTTCGAAAGCTTACTGACAATGACATAAATAATACAACATACTCCGACTGTAATACTTCAGAAGTAAGAACATAATTCAACTCGTAGCATGTAAGTACACATGTGAATTTTATTTTTTAGCATTCCACATACGCAGTCAGTCGTATATTCTGTCGTTCAGTTAATCCAACTTAATTGAGCGCGGTAATTAAATAATGATATCGACCTACTTTCCGCATGATAAGAATCTCCGTAGAGAATACACTTTTATGGAACATACAGAGTACGAAGCTGTTATAATTTTCCATGTACTGCCAATTAATACGATGATGTCAACTTTATTAAAAGACTCGGTACACGTTGTATTATATTACAGCAAAAGTGGTGAAACTTAGCAATTTATCACTTTGTCATTTGGTAATTAAATAAAGCTAATGTAACCCGAAACGCAATTTTTACGATAAAAATAATTGTATATTTGTATGTAAATAATTGTATATTTTCCTAATTCTTAACATAGTATTTGGTATGATTATAAAATAAGCAAAACAGGTCCCAGATTCATTAATTGTTTTTCTGAATCTAATATATTTTAATAATATTTTTTATATTGTAATTTTAAACTATGTAGTTAAACTACAGATTAGAGTACGATAATGTGATTCCTAACATTTTTAAAACTATATAAATTAATAAATTGCGATTAAGTTTGTTAAAATATAAATACTCTTTGATTGAAAACTATATCAAAAACGAATATCTGAAACATTTGAAAATACAAAAAATATATAGCATTTTCGCAGACTTTAGTACCAAGAAAAGAGATTAACATAGCCACAACAATGATATGTTACGATCTATTTTATCAGAGAATTGGTCTTTAAATAAGTGCGGTTTTCAGCTTAGATGGTTTTAATTACATTTTAAGGTTTTCTGACGTACTCTTTTGGCATCTTAGTATTACAAAATGTTATGCGATGTTTATAGTAACGAAGCCTTAAAAAACGGCAGTGTCAAAATTGATTTGCCAAATTTTGGTCTGGTTTTTATTCACCCCAGGTGAGAAACTCTCTAAACAAAGAAATTGTCTACTTTGAATCTACCATAAAGTCTTGACCGTAACTTTTTGTAAGCTTATGACACCTCTTTACCTTCGCAAAAATCAAAAAGAAAATATTTCAAACACGGGCGATTTTATTATCCATTTTTCAACGAACGCCAAACGAAAACTACGCAATTGATCAAAAAACTATTTTTACTAGTTGACTGCTGAATTGCAAGCTATCTAATAACAAAAAATATTTTACATTTTGACTAGGTCAGCAAAACCAAATATTCAATTGAGAGATTCTAAGAGAGAAATCTGCACGCACTTAGATACCTTCCTAATAAAATAATGATATAGTACTCTTTCAAAATTAGTATTAAAGAGCTATTATAAATACTGAAGGTAACTACTAATTTGTTACTTTATATATAAAGATACCCACAAAATTTTAAAGTACAATGAATAAAAATCACGTCTTTATCGATCGAGGAAGTAGTTATAAACTAAAAACTGTGCTAAAATATTAACAAAATCAAAAATCATTACTTATTCTATGATCATAGTATTCGTTTCACTAAACAATTTTATATCAACCCTTGAATTTCATTTTTAACTGACAAAAGTAAATTGTTGTATATATAAAAATTGTCGATTTTACAATTACATATTTTAATATAGATCTTTTGTATGAATAAATAAATAAAAAATGATGTATATCAATTTTAGAAGACTTAAGGGGGTATTCAAGTGTAGAAATTCAAAAAAATGCATTTTACTTTTCTTTCACATTTTCAAAGTTTAACTATTTAATTCTATTATTTATTTTATACTCTTTTTATTTAAATTTATGTTATTGTTCATTATTGTTGTAATAAATATAGTAACGAATATAGTAATTAAAAAAAGAAAAAAATTATTTACAATCTATTTATGTGCACGAGAGGATTTTAAAAAATTTAAATTATTTTCGGAGATATAACTGTTTGATCATGATAATCCACTATGGTTTCCTTCCTTATGCGTAACTTCAAACGCGTTTTTCTTAGAACCGTCTTTTTCAAAACGATGCCCATGGTTTCTCAAGCTCTACTAAACTACTACAGAAATTTTCAGAGTTTTTTGTAGATTCTTGTATGTACTACACCCATCTCAAAATTTCAATCTTTACTATTTTTAAAAATTCGAGAAAGTGGTAAAAAAATTGTCTTATTTTCAAACCACTTTGCCAAAAAAATCTTAACTTGTTCGTAGTATATAGCATAGCGACTACATTCTAAATTAGTCATCTCTTTTTTCAATTCAGATGACCCGAGAGGCTGCAATTGTCAGCATGATGACGTGGTAATTTTTTAAGGCGCCCCACTTTAAAAACTGCTAATTCTTTTTCTTTTTTTTCTGAGATCTTGAAACATTGGTAAATAAATTATAAAAAATAATAGCAAATAAATGAATGTCTTATTTTACGAAGATTGAAAAATGACCTATGATTCATAACTCTACACTAGATTACCTTTCAAGAGATAATTCTTAAAACGTATACTTGAAGTCCATATGCAACAAAAAAAATTAATAACCTAGGTTTTATCTAAGACTCCGGTAACAACAATATTTTGACTACAATTATGACTAAGTCAAATTGTTTACCATACCTCGCGTTTATCGAGGTGCTCTAGATAATATCATAATCCGCAACGATAATTCCACACTTCCACAATTTCACCTCTGTAACTTCATTAAACTAAATGTACTATTAATGTGTACTCACCCGCTGGTTGTGATAGTAGCTGTCGATGTCCTCGAGCGGCGTAGAGGCGAGCTCAGGTGGGAAACCGCCTTGCAGCCGCACCGGTATCGGCACGCCCTGTTCGAGCGTCGGGTCCGGCTGCGGGCCCTCGTCCTCGTCCTCGTCATCGTACCGAACCTGAAGGAAAAGCGCGATACGGAACGACCGCGCTCGATTATAATGTGTGGGACGATAATTTTATAGACTGCAAGACACGTTAGACTTAAGCAGACGTCAGACTAAACATGAATTACATCCAACACGATGCTGCTATATGAAATAATATCAGAATATGTGTTAAAGCAAAAATTGACTTTTCTGCTGAACGTTGCGAATAACATGGTTTTCTATAATGAACTCTGTGTGATATGGATCGGTTGACTCGGGAAAGTGCTCGTATATTTTTTATAGGTTCAAGACTTTACATTGCCGCTTAAATAAATTCGGATGTTGGCAGGTGAATCGATATATACTGCCTGTGAAGACTACTTATGAAAAGAAAAAAAAATCCGACAAATACATAGATATTTATATGTTACATATATGTTATTGTTTTAGAATCTGCTGTATATTAAGTATGTAAATTCTAGTTATTCATGAATTAAGTAATTTATGGAAATTTAGAAAAAACTATACGTTTTACTGCTCTTAAAAATACTTCATTTGCGTGCTCAAATTCAAATTAGGATAGGGTTTAAAGTAAAAGGTCGATCATCGTTATCTAAAAAACAAGTAAAGTATAAAAAATTTAATGGTACTATTTGAAACTAGAAGGCAAAAATTAATTTTTTCCAATCGCCACATTATTTTTCAGGAGGCCACTTTTACTATAAATCAAAATGGATCTTTGTGTCCCGCCCTACCGTTTTACTAAAAATATTGCGTAAGCATTAATGATGATTTTTTTATATTTTTGTTAAAAACTAAAAAACAGTTAAGATAGAAAGGAACAAAAGCTAAATATGTGTATATATGTATATTTAATATATACACATATAGATTTTTTTATCCTTTCTATATTTACTGTTTCTTTTTAGTTTTTATTAAAAATTAAAAAAATCCGTTATAGCCCGTTAATGCTTATTTAATATTTTTATAAAAGCGTAGAGCGGAGCACAAAGGTTCATTTTGACTTTCAATAATTATATTTTCTAAACCAAATTAACTACACATAACAGGTAAAATAATTAGTTAATTCATATTTATAAAAAATTGTTTTCTACTATTTTTTTCAAAATATATAATCGGTCTTTATTAACCTCATAAGACCTATGCGGTCGGAGAACTTTTTCAATCATTACCCCCAAATATTTTTGTCTAAGTTGATATTACCCTCACGACGAAGAGAGATTACCCCTTAAATACCAATTAAAAATACATGCTTTTTACCTCCAAAAATTCTATTTATATCGCATTTGGGGTAATTTAACTCGGTTTCCGGATCACCTATAACATAAGTGGTAAAAATCAAATAAGCCAGGAGAGGCAAAGAGATACAATGTCTTATTTTTAATTTAAACCAATTTTACTATATAATAGCTACATTATTTAGCCAGTGCAATGTACAAGTGTCATGGGCACATATTTTACAAAGATCATTTTGTATATAACCTGAATATAGTATTTTGTGAAAAATATATTACATCAGCAGAGTTGGAATAACTAATAGTTCAATTTATATCCTACAAAATCGTTTTTTTACCTTATATTACTTTTAGATTTACTGTTCTCTCAAAGTTCACATATTTGTCAGTGTGAAGGTATTGCTTGTCTTTTTTACCTCACCCATATTTAAGCTTTTATAGAGACCCTTTCCCACCCACATAACATATTTCTTATAAAACAAATAAATAAAGTAGGATTAAAACTTATATTTAGATATCATAAACTGAATAAAAAAGCTTAGAACCAATGCAACTAACAACAGAAAAATATTTTTGTTATGAATATTAATACATGGCCCTTTATCTCCTGATGGCTACGTCGTAAAAATTAATGTGATGACTGGGAAAATAAATGTTTGCCTTATACTTTAGAATAGTATTGTTATAATCATTTTTACTTTACTTGTTTTTGAGATAACGATGATGGAACTTTCTACCATCGGACCTTTACACCCCGCTCTACCCAAATTTAAATTTGAGCACGCAAATCAAGTGTTCTTAAGAGCAATAAACCGTATAGTATTTTCAAAATCTTCATAAATTATTACCAAAAATTAATTGATATTGTATTGATTCGTAAGAGCATTGACTTTTGCATTTAAATCACTGAGAACTTAGTAACATTCGACAAATAATTATTAATCCAAAATTATGAGAAAAGTCATATTTTATTTATTCAATAATATAAATAAGAAAAAGATTTTTTTTTAATTTTTTAATTTTTATTTACATACTAGTTTAAAATAGCTCCATATTCAAGAAACACTTATAATTGTTTTTTATGTAACAAAATCAAATCGTGTTCCTGTTTGAACTTCACATTTTAATTTTTTGTGCATTATTTTTCTTGTAGTTATAAAAAATCCCCATACATTGAAAAATCGTAGATCTATATAAAATAGAAATTATCAGAGTACTACTAGTACTTATTGCCTATATTAATAAATAATATTTTCCCTATTACATGTAAAAGCAAATTATTTATTGTAACTATTAAAGATTTAAATTGAATATTTCATATAGCAGTATCGATCTAGGTTTATTTCATGCTCTGTCGTACGTCCACTTAAAATTCAACGTGAACTTGCAGACTACTATAGAATAGTGCATGCATGCACGGCATACCGAGCTCAGATTCATGACATTTTGGATCTTTTTACACTGCACTGACATCCCCAGAAAGAAAATCAATTTCAAGACATATTGACACCTTAAGAGAATGAAATGATTGATCTTACAGTAACAATTTAGAAAACACAGTCTATAAATGTGTCTTTACCCATAGTGCTGGTTACACCTTATCTGGGCAACGTCTTTGCAGGGTAAAATGATCATTTCGACTGCGCACATTTGATAGCAAGTCCAAATATTATCTTGTCTAAATGCAATGTTCGTAATTAAGGAAATGTAACTGCAGGAGTTATGTGGTGACTTACACGTAGGTGTATCGACGAAGTCGTAAAACAAATAATTGAATTGTCAACTGTACAGTCAAATGGTTGTCAACTCGGTGTATACGACCATTTGAAATTAACCATATGAATAAAAAAATAATAAAAAAAATCTTTGGATGTAGGGGAAATACGGACAAAATATTATATATAAATAAAATGACACAGTGGCTTTATTTAAAAATTTGCTAGATTCAATGACGTTTCCGGGACTACACAACAAAAACGTTTAAATAATCGTTGAGCGTCATTGCCATAGTTTTGCCCAAGTAATCAGTTCAAACGTGTATTGCACATTCAAAAATTTATTTTAAGGGTGGTTTTGTCTTTTTTTTAAGATTTATTTATTGTTATTTGTAATGACTGTTACATAAATGAACTTATGCCAGTACAAGTAATTCTAATCAATTTTCTTGCAATTATCAGATGTTTAATAGAATTTTTCATTATTCATTCATTTTTGTTTACTTTCGTACGCAGTGACATATTTTGTACGAAACAAAATTGTTCAATGGACAAAATGACAAAATAATATTTCAGCACTACAAGCATTGACCTTATATTACATGGACTGATAGTCGATTGGAAAATAAGTGCTCAAACATAGATGGGTATATGACGTCACATGTCTGAGCGAACCTTGCCGATGACAATCGCGGACTCTTCCGATAGATTAAATGTATATAACATAACATATGTTTTATTTTAATAATATAATGGCAATTGTGATGGCTGATAATTTTGTTTGGCAATAATCGCTCAGACATGTGAAGTCACATATCTATCTATGTATGAGCACTATTTACAACGGAAAACATATGAGGACTAGCAGTCCATGTAGTGTGATGTCTATGAATACAGGGTAGTTCATTAGAGGTCAAGAGAAAAGAAAATTGAAACCTATCAAAGGTGATTGGCCTGTAAGTTCTACTCTAAATACTTCTAAAAACAGGCTAAAGATACACCGGTAAAAAGAGACGAGCATTTATTGCAGGAACTTATTTGGAATAAATTTTTCGGAGCCCGGAGGAGATTGGTTTGTTCCCTTTGGACTCATGCATCATATGCTCATATCCCAAATAAGACCAAACAATTTAATTGTGAACTACTTTCTTTTTCTCAGTGTAGTATTAGCCTATAAGTCATTTTGTCATTTTGTATATGAACAAAATGTTTTTTGTGATTGGTTGCATTTTTCCTCAATAAATATGCTACTACAGTTGTTGTCTAACTAAAAAGACATGTTACTACTACTAGTCAATGAACCAATGAACGATTGATGCTGGTTATAATGTTTTTTTTTTTAACTCGTTTTATTTAGCAATCAGAAATATATAAAGAATCCTATGAGCTAAAACGACAATGTTTAAGTGCGATGCTTAAGAAGAGCTCCAATGAGATCTTCTCAGTAGTTATAATGTAATTGAATAAATAAATATCATTAAAAAACAAAACACCATGTCATTTTATCCGTACTTCCCCTAATTCATAATTAATAAAATTATCATAGTTGGCTTATTTTGGATTTTTGAAACAAAGTTTAAAAGCTTTCATCATAATCGTCGTACACATCGAGCTTCAATCATTCAGCTTTATTATTGAAATGAATTTTATGAAGCCATAATTTGTAGTAACCATAATAAAAATATAAAATTATTTTTTTAATGTTTTTATCTCCAGTTTCGAATACTACAATGTGCATAGTCGAATTTAAAATAATTTCCATACAATTATCCCACGTAGTCATAAGAAATTTCTATCAAAACTTTCAAAATCCTAGATAGCTGTACAAACAATTGTGTCAGGAGAAAACTCTTAATATATCACGTTACGTAACAATAACTTCGAATCGAATATATTTATCTATATCTCAAAATGCTCCAATAATTCCAAGATTTGAAGTGGGTAATAAGATTCCAAAGCATAATCTTCACGGCGTCTTTAATAAAATTGCAGCATCAACGGATTGTGTAATATCTGCAAGGATTCTGAACGCATAGGTAAAGATTTTCTCGAATTCAAT